TAAGTTGCAGTCAAAGGGGCAGAGAACAATGGAATGAAAATGCTTCTGACTCCCACTGCCCACTGCCAATGAACTATACTAAGACAGGGAATGTAAATAAACGGGGACATGTAGTCCACACTCTCCTTCAACAGAGCACAAGTATTTGAACTTCTTGAACTTTTCAGCAGACCCCCCCATAAAAGTTTGAAGAGGATGCTTCCAATGCACACCTTGATGTTGGTGAAATTCAGAAATTAAAATACATACAGGCCAATAATTGCAAGATAATTTTCACATCCCCTAATGATACTGTACTTGCCACCCCCTTTCCCAGGGTCAGCTGTGTTTGGCATTGACTTCAATGAGGTTTTGCCACGCAGATAAGGTCATATATTTGTCATCTGCCTGCGCCATCCAGATTTCTCAAACCTACAAACAAAACCTTGCCTTTCACAAGTACCAACATTAAAAAAATGGAAAATAACGCCAAAGAAAACACCTGTCAATCTTCATCTTGTGTAGGATTTCACTGAAGGTTGGGAAGGCTTCTGTTTATTTTTTGTTTATTAGTCAAGGTTTTGAAACTGATTCTAGTTTTAATAATGCTATTTTTTCTTCTTATATTGTTCTTTTTGACTGGATATTTTTGTTGTGAATTTTAATTAAGTAATGTATTTATTTCAGTCACCCTTAGCTTTTCATGAAAGGAAATCAATAAAAGTAGTAAATAAGCAAACCACTGGGGTTTCATTTCACCTAACAGAGGTAAAATGATAACACGGTATCTGAAACTTCAGTGTGTGTGTGTGGATTCTTTCCTACTCTCCATCTTTGCATTCACAATATTAGGTAAATTAGGTCTTACATCAGAGAATTACATTTTTTGCCACATACATATATCTACATCATTGTACCCCATGTTTATAAACAGAGAATAACTACAACTGTAATCCTATACATGCCTACTCACAAGTCCTGCTGAACTCAGAAGAACTGATTTCTAGGTAAACATGCATAAGATTGCACTGTAAGATTCTATATTCACAATCTGTAACACAGATTTTCATCCTTCTAAATTGCTCTGGTCCATGGGGTCACGAAGAGTCGGACACGACTAAACGACTAGACAACAACATCAACAACAAGTATGCATTTAAAGAAAGGGAAATCCTCATGTTTTACATCCACTGTGTGCAGGTATTGCAGTTTTCTTTACCTATCTAACCACTATTTACAGCAAAAATGGCAATATTTTTATCACATGATGCCTTTCAGTGCAGCTATAGACAAATTTGCACTTTTTATAATTCCCACTGTCCTTCCCATTATTTTTCCTTTTATGCTCATTTTAAATGTTATTACCATCATGGCACCCATATACCTTAGGAGGGTAGGTATAGCTTTCCTGTAAGCCAATAAAACTAGACAGTGGGGTGGCTATTTGGGTAATACTGCCAGCACTCCCCACAGGACATCATGTAAGACACATTTGCTATAACAGTAAGTCTACCCAGGAGCAAGGAGCACAATTCAAAGTCTATCTTGTAGCATGGGACTCCCCACATACCAGCATAACACACTGTTGGAAGTCACTGAGTCAACTAATTAAAGACAATTTTATAGCCAGACGATTTGTCACCCTTACCCTGCACATACAGAATAGCCTGGAGGAAACAGGGGATCTCTGCACAGGCTTATTTTAAAAGCCTCTTTCTTTGGGGCCCATAAAAAAACCCAACACAGCCTAAATACATATGATAGTAAAATATAATAACTACAATTCTTTCAGTTCAGCCATTCCTTTCCTCCAGTTGTACTTCAAGCTCCACATTTCACACTATATCTACCGCCACTCTCTTGCTAGGGAACTTGCTATAGAAAACTCTGAAAAAGTTTGTTGCCTAAGGGCAACAATTGCAGCCAAACTCTGTTATAAAACCTAGTAAGTAGATACTTGCAACAAAACTGAGAGCAATATAGGCAGCACAGTGATCTTTCCCAGGACTTCACAGTTTCCAGTTATTTATAGTCCTCCATAGCTACTGACCTCCTTAGTTTCCTACTCCTCTCCCAGTGGAAGGTTCACAGGCTCAGTGTGCACATAACACTAATCCAAACCATGGTTAGCCATGAGAGTGCAAGTGTACTCATAGTAAAAATCATGGCTAACTGGCTCCCCCCTGGCTATCTTGAGGCTGCTTACCGGGAGCTAAGCCATGGTTTGGTTTAGTGTTTGATCCCAAGCAGGGTTCATGGTGTGTCTTGCCCAGACAAACAACAAACTGTAAACCAAGAATATACCTCCAAGCAGCTAGAAAAGACCCAAATATATCTTCAGACCATCTCATAAGTGCTTTATAATTTTTAAAAACATTTTGTAAGTGTGTATATTTTTAAGGCATTTGATAGAATGGGCTTGCTAGTAGGGATGGGCAAATTTGTCAGTTTTGGTTTCCCTCATTTCCCCATGTTTTCCAGTCTTAAATTCAGTTCTCCAAATTTATGTCACAATTTGCAGTCCCCCCTCCCCAAAAATAACATCCTTATGAAACTTGGCCAGAATTTGAGTCCTAATTTAAATGTATTTTTAATCTTTTGTTTAAAATCTTTTGTACGTTTCCCAGTATGTTTCTGAGCACAATTCAAAGTGTTGGTGCTGACCTTTAAAGCCCTAAACGGCCTCGGTCCAGTATACCTGAAAGAGCGTCTCCACCCCCATCGTTCTGCCCGGACGCTGAGGTCCAGCGCCGAGGGCCTTCTGGCGGTTCCCTCATTGCGAGAAGCAAAGCTACAGGGAACTAGGCAGAGGGCCTTCTCGGTAGTGGCGCCCGCCCTGTGGAACGCCCTTCCAGCAGATGTCAAAGCGATAAACAACTACCTGACATTCAGAAGACATCTTAAGGCAACCCTGTTCAGGGAAGTTTTTAACGTGTGATATTTTAGTGTATTTTTGGTTTCTATGGAAGCCACCCAGAGTGGCTGGGGAGGCCCAGCCAGATGGGCGGGGTATAAATAATAAATTATTATTATTATTATTATTATTATTATTATTATTTGTTGGAAGCCACCCATATGAGTGGGGTATAAATATATCATCATCATCATCCTCATCATCAATTTTTCCCAATATGCAGTTTTGTTTGCCGTTTTGAGTAATACACATATTTTTGCAAGCATTTTCCCCTAATGTTATGGATTTTTATACATTATCTTCACTAACATAGCCATTTTATGCACCCCTTTCCCAATATATACATTTTTGTACACATCATTTGGTTGGATAAGTGCATCACAAAATTAAGAGAACTACGAATCTCAAAGGATAATTGTGCATCAGTTTGCATGTTGGTTCAAGAAGTGTGAATTAGGTACAGGGCCGTCTTACCCATAAGCGCATGGGGTGCATGGCACCTAGGCGCCGGGCTCTCAGGGACACCAGGCCGAGAGTCCGGGGCCCAAGAGTTGAGTCCAGGGAAGAGCCCGTCCATCAGCTGGAGTGCCACAGCAGGCTCTTCTGCTGTGGACGGCTCTACACCGTGAGTTCGGGGGCGACTGAGCCAGCAAGACACTGAGGCACGAGCTGGCTTTGCCCTCCTGTGTGCCTGGGACTGGGCAAACGGGGGGGGGGGCAGATCTTTGCACCCCAGCGCTGCATATGCTTAAGACAGACCTGATTAGGTAGTTCTCATTAGAATGCAAACAAAATCAATCAAAATGGTCTTGTCCTGTTCAAGGGAAACCAATGAGATTAAGAACCTTACTTCCATCCCTGCTTTCCCTCATATGCTGCTCAGTAACTGGAATGCTACCTCTCCTCCCCATAGGCTATTCAAAAAGGCCTTTTTTGCCATTTAATGCTTCTGTGTATAGTATCAGGAGGAACAAAACAATCTTAAGTAAAGAAACATATCCAACTTCAAACAGACAAGTTTACCACAAATGCAATTTGATCACCAAGCTTTGGAAGATCACAGCTGACAGCAATCAGCAAGCACAGTCATGACATGACATACACAACATGTCCAAATACATACATATTCTGCAGATTTAGAAGGTTGTGTTTACTTAAGAAACATATTGTTTCAAACAATTCAACACCAGTTTCCAAAATTAAATGATAAAGTCAAAACACAAATGATTGAATCCAGCTAAATCATTGTGTGTGGGGAACAACTTCAACACAAACAAACTTCTTCTCCTTCTCCTCCCCTCATGCACCCCCTGAGGAAAAAAAGCTACTGCAAAGGGCTGGGGAAACCCAGAGCAGATCTGGGGTGTGTGCCTGGGGTGAAAAGAGAAGTTCTCTTGTGCTTCCAGAAGTCATTCCCAGTGTGTGCAAGGATTTAGCTGGATGCAAACTAAATTGCCTTTGTTTATTTCTTCGATTGATTTACTTTTGTCTAAAAGTTTCTTCCATGAAACCTAAGTTTTTAACCAGTAGGTTGCCATGGATATGATATGATATGATATTATACATTTATTTGGAACCTTTCATTGAAAAGGTATTAGCCAGAAACAAGTGTCAATTACTGTATATGTCGGGTGCACATTGCAACTTGATTCTATTCTGTCATGGGAGCCTCGGTGTTATCACAAGATCCCTCTGTCTTGTCTTCAAAAATAGCTGTTTCACATCCCAGAGTGAAAGATTACAAAACGAAACTATGAAACTTCCAAACTTAAATGTAAATGGACTGTGAAAAATTGTTATCACCAATACCAAGTCCCTTCCCCAAAGACACTCATTCCATTTTTGTGAACAAAGCTTTAGCCAGTTGCTGAAGCCCAGCACACTAAACTGATTAATGAATTTTCATGCCTGCACTGGAAGGACACTGTCTTGCAGGATATTTTGGAAACTGATACCTCCCCATGAGTGTGGCCTGAATGCCTGAGTCAAGTTCCATCTGGAAACCCCTATTTTGGCTGAAATATTCAAGAGCGCAGTCGGTTTTAAAAGAAAATGCACTTTCTCAAAAAATAAAAAGAAGAGCAAAAATAACTCAAACAACACAGACCTCGTTTTCTCTCAGGGATTTCTGTCTCTTCCATATACACTCTTCAAATGCTGTGTTATCCGTCTTTAATTTTTTTTCACTATAATCCAGCCGATCATGGAGAAAATCAACTAATGTTTGAATATTCTGCTCCTTTGCCTTTATTCTAGTGTACTTTTCCCTTTAAGAGAAAAAATATCATTACTAGAATAAAATGGTATTTTATTTCCAAGAAACTTGTCTTTAAGGTGACCTATAAAATCTCCAGGGGAGTTTAGCAAAAACAACAAATTGTCCCTTAGTACCTGTAAACCGCACAAAAGTACTGGGGGGGGGTGAACTTCTGCACACCTAAGAACAGCCCACTGGATCAGGCCAATGGTTCATGTAGTCTAGCAGCCTGTTCTCACAGTGACCAACTAGATGCTTGTGCAAAACACGCAAGCAGGTTTGGAGCACAAGAGCACTCTCCTTCCTGGTATATGCCTGTTATATTTCCATGCCACACTCCACTAAATAAAATCAGTCCAATCAATGCCAGATACTTCATGATATGAAGTTTCCAATCATTGCATCTTGAAATCTTGGTATAAATATCCAAGGGGACCTTTTTGAAAAAGGAAGCACACTACAGCTGTGTCCATTCAGCGCTTACCGGCATAGGGATGGTATTCTAACCCTGTAATCCTAAGCAAGCTTACTCAGAAGTTAGCCACATTAAAGTCAATGGGACTTGCTCTCTCGTAAGTGTGCTCAGGAGTGTAACCTAATGTTTGATACATGCAGTTCAAAACTTTCTCTTTTAAAGTTATTGTTTCATGCTCTCCACTTCTCCAAGCAGTAGGCTGTTCCAAGGAAGGTTTTCAGGGTTAGTCTTTTAATGAAGAAAGAGTACTGGAGACTTGCGGTATTTTTCTCATATACATTTATTTACAGATATGTCTGTATAGGTGATGAGAGACGAGACATGTAAGGTTATAGGCAGGCAATGCTAGTGTAATGGGCCATTAAAAACCACTAAGAAAATAATCTATTTGTACACTATGTGTGCCTGCAAAGAGACTATAAGGAAGAACCATCAGATTGTGCCCAAAACAAACACAAACAGCAAACAAACAAACAAACACCCACCCCACCACAACCTGGAAGGAGGGAGAAAGGTTACACTTTATTGGTGAAACAGAAAAGTGTGGTCCTAATTATATGTGTTGTTATAGCAAGCCTACTGTTAGGTTACATTATTTTATAAGAAAGATCTTTTTCTATGGGTTTCTTAATAAATAACATAAAATTCTTTGCATTTAAAGTTGCAAAAGAAGTCATCAACCAGTTTGCACCATTAGGCTTTGAACTCCAATATAAGATAATGAATTGTATGATGGTAAAGGTAAAGGTAAAGGTACCCCTGCCATTAGGTCCAGTCATGGACAACTCTGGCGTTGCGGCACTCATCTCGCTCTATAGGCCGAGGGAGCTGGCGTTTGTCCACAGTCAGCTTCCAGGTCATGTGGCCAGCATGACTAAGCCGCTTCTGGCGAACCAGAGCAGTGCACGGAAACGCCGTTTACCTTCCCACCGGAGCGGTACCTATTTATCTACTTGCACTTTGACGTGCTTTCAAACTGCTAGGTGGGCAGGAGCTGGGACCGAACAACGGGAGCTCACCCTGTCGCGGGGATTCGAACTGCCGACCTTCTGATCAGCAAGTCCTAGGCTCTGTGGTTTAAACCACAGCGCCACCCGTGTCCCTGTATGATGGCATCTCACACCAATTAAGATTACATAAAACCTTCGTGCACTCCAGCCTTTAGTACTGGATAGGTGTGGGAGAGTGGGCACTTTCCCCCACTTACGGTGGGAGTACAGAGTTGTCCAGGTGACACTTTGAAATGCCCTGTTGAAAAAACCTCTAAGCTCATCTTCTTCCACTGGTTGGAAGCAGGTTGTGCATTGTATCTTCACAAGGATCTTCTTAGCAATTGGATAGCTGCAAAAAGGTGCCTTGGCATGTTAATATAGGCAATCAAACCTACCCTCTCATGCGGAATGGTTGGGGAAGATATGGGAGATAATAATCATGCATAAATTAAAATAAAATAAGTCAGTTGAGAGGACAAAGGATCAGTCCTTACCACTTTAGTTTCAGGTCTGTGTTACACTGAGACATGGGACATAAAAATTTTTAAGCCCCCTAAACAGTTTCAGTCACTCAAATTTGCTTCAGGCATTGTTATAGTTCTGTTGTTTTGATCTACCATGATATATGCTTTGGTTTGTAAACTGTGTGGCTTGTCCTAATATCCCCTTGTTCGTAGCCTGTTTTGTTGTTGTTTCATTCTTGGATTTCAATACCAGCTTTTATAGCAATGCTGTTTTACTTATACAGAGAAATTATTTCCTTATTATTATTAAAGGTCAGCAATGCTTTTTTTATAAACCAACTCTGGATTTTCTACATTAGACCAATTATTTATGAGATAGTAAGTCAAGGAGCTACTTTTAACATGAGTTGTGCATGAGACAAGTAATTCTTTCCATAAGCTCCATCATATGTAAGGTTACTCCAAAATTCCTTGGCAGAAAATCTTTTTTTTCTCTTTTCCCACTTTGACCCTAAAGATCAAGCCTATTGCAGCATATGGTTATTCAAGGCTTCCATGGCCTGCCATATATTTAGCTGAACAGAACCTTTTTCTGTTTTCATGTTAGAATTTATCAGTCCCAGGAAATGAAAACTCACATTTCTTTACTCAAAGAAACAAACAAAATGAATTATTTTCAACTAATTAAAGATGCAACTGACCATGAATTTTATTAGGTTGGGGCATGCAATTCTAATGCCTAAAATACAATTTACAAGACAAGAATATTCATCATGAACCTTTTCTACTTTTGCATAAAATATGAAAAATACTCCTTATTTATGGATAAATATTGTTATGTTCTCTTCAGATAATATGGTATTAGTAATACATCAATATTGTGTTCATCATTTATACTAAATTTATGTATTACCTTCACAACTTTATTGAAATGGAGTGTCTTACCTTAACACTATTACCTTTGCCTCTATGCTAGCCAGCTGTTTTTCCTTTACTTTGCTCATATCAGCTACTTTATTCATTTCATCTTGGAATTTTGCAATATTTCTGTTGACTTCATCAAGCTGGGTCGAAATATCTAAATATTTCACCTGAAAATTAAAAATATACATACACTTCTGAAGTTGGGAAGATATCCTGATATTGTGTTTTAAGTGCACAATTATGTGCGACGATGCATGAAATTGCATACCCAAGAAATAGAACTGTTTTTGGAAGTGCAGTTGAAACATTTAGTGCAAGTAGAATAATGCCTTTTCTGTAAAGGCACACACTTGTACATCAAAGTTACTGTTCCCAAGTGTGTTTTATGAACTGACAACCAGAATTCTAAGACTTCCAAAATATGTTTTTTAACATCAGCACATTGCTCAACATCCCTTTCTCAATAATACACATGCTCTTTTCAGTCATGTTCTCATGTACAAAATACATTAGTCTTTACATTGATTATGTTATTAAATATGATGAAAGCTGGTGTAGTGTGGAGGGTTCTGAATGTAAGCTGTGAAGCTTTGAATTCCAGTTCAAGTATCATGACTGCCACAAATTCGCAAAATGTTCTTAGGCAAGCCACCATATCTCAGTCTCAGCTCCATCAACTGCAATATGGTTATGATAATACGGACCAATCTTGCAGGATTGTTCTAACAGGCTATGTGAATGCTGCTGCTACATTAGATCACAGAACAAAGAAAAGAGTCAAAGGACACCCTCATGTTAAAGCAGAATTCTGCATGAACTAAATGATACTGGCACTACAGATGATCACAACAGGTCCACTATTCTTTTGCTATGTTTGTTTAAACAAAAGTCTTCATACATGTATGCACTTTGATGATAGCTATAGGAAACTTTAATATCTTCACCTCCTCTTGTTTCTGTGATTATGGGATAATCTAATGAAAGATCATAGACTGATAGTCAAATGTCAAAATCCAGTGGAGATGACTGGAATGCAGAAGCTAGGGATGCTTGAGGAATTTTGACATGGACTGAATTGATCTGCATCTCCTGGGCTAAAATATAACAGAAAGATCAATCAGATTTTAAACTTCCCTGAACAGTTCCCAGCTGAAAAAGTTCCAAAGTGAGTTTAGAAATAATATAGCTACACTCCTGTTATTGTTTGTAATATTACTGTTTTGTATAATTCAGGAAACTTAAATAAAACACACACCTATTCAATTTGTATTTTCAAAGGAAATACATTAAATTATCATTTACAACACTTCCAGAAGAGTCACATTTGAACTTTGTGAACTCTTCTCCTATTCCACCGAAGAAGCTCTACTGAACTGCCCCAGACTTAGTGTAGAAACAAGGTGGAACACAGCAAAGAGACAATCTACAACACAAATATATCCTCCTTTGGCTAAAGAGAGCAACAGATCCCTGACTGGTCTGATGGCATAGAGACTGTTATTGCACAAAGTGCAAGGCTCTTGTGAACTACAAGTGTGCGTCCTGCAAAAAGACAATTGTTACACTGAGAAAGGCAAGGAATGAGGCCCAGCGGATTGCCAGATGATGTAAAATGACAACTGGCTAAAGCATTCAACTCGCTGCTGATATTGGCAACACTTGCAAGTGTACAAAGACATGAAGAAAGCCTTTGGACCAACAGTCAGGCAAATTGCACCACTGAAAACCTTGTCTGGAAAGATCATCACACCAGTAGCAAGCAGATGAAGCGATGGGCAGAGCACTCTCAAGTACTGTACTTGCAGGAAAACATGGTCTCTGACACAGCAATTGACAGTATCTATACCCTGCCTCTTTTGGAAGAGATTGATGTCCCTCCCTTCCTTGACAAGCTGAAGAATACCATCAACTCTCAGGCATGTGGTAAAGCCCCACGACAAGACAGAATCCCAATAGGAGTGCTGAAAGCCAGCTTCAATTCCTCCCTTGTGACACACCTCCATGGCCTCCTCTTGCAGTGTTGGGAACAAGGGTCTGTGCCACAAGACATGTGTGACTCCAGCACTGTGACCCCTCTAAAAGGAAAAAGGTGACCACCGTGACTGGAATCTCCATATTGAGTACTGTGGGTAAAGCCTTTGCCAGTGTAGTTTTCAACAGATTACAGTCACTTGCTGACAGGGTCTATCCTGAATCACAATGCAGCTTCAGAGCTCAGAGGTCAACAGTCAACATGATTTTCTCACTGTGCCAGCTGCAGGAGAAATGATGTAAGGATAGATGCCCCTAAGCTTCACAAGATAATTGTGTCCTTCCACAAGAATATGCAGGGCACCATCCAGTATGGTGGCTCATCTTCAGATGCCCTCCCTATAAAGAGTGGTGTGAAATGGCTGTGTTCTTGCCTCAACTCTCTTTGACATATTCTTCTCCCTGGTGCTCTTATATGCCTTCAGCTTAACTGAAGATGGTGTGTACTTTCATCTGAGGAATGACCAGAGGAAGAATGACCGCTGGGGGAGTGCAGAGATAATAAACACCATGGTGCATCTGCTGCAGCACAACCAGATGCCTTCTTTTCTGCCCCATGTGCAACAAAACATGTCTCTATTGTTTTGGTCCCAACAGCTATAACTTTCAAACAGTTTGACTTCACCCTGAGGCTGTCTCCCGAGACTGATGGATGCTAACAAACAACGTTGATTTCAACATGGATTTAGGAAACCATCACAGATGAATATGGAAATGGGATGGAGCAGACCACTAATACTACTTGTTGTTATTTTCATTTCTATTCTGCTTTATATTTATAAGGGGGGGGAATCTCTAAGAAGTTTTCAACCTACATTAAAACAGCAAATAAAACAACCCAGAGTGAAACATTACTGAAGGAAGACAAATATAAAGTAAACATTCAAAGAAACATAATTAACAGGAAACTAAAATACCTAAAGTGAAGTCAAATGGGCCTTAGAAAGCACTGCAAATAACAAGGCCAGTGGAAGTGATGGTATTCCAGCTGAACTTTTTAAAATTTTAAAAGATGATGCTGTTAAGGTGCTACACTCAATATGCCAGCAAATTTGGAAAACTCAGCAGTGGCCAGAAGATTGGAGAAGATCAGTCTACATCCCAATCCCAAAGAAGGGCAGTGCCAAAGAATGCTGCAACTACCGCACAATTGCACTCATTTCACATGCTAGCAAGCAGTGGCGTAGCGTGGGGGGTGCAGGGGGGGCCAGCCGCACCGGGCGCAACATCTGGGGTTAGGGCAAATCCACGGGTTAGGGGGCACAAATCCACGGGTTAGGGGGCGCAAATTACTTGCCTTGCCCCGGGTGCTGACAACCCACGCTACGCCACTGCTAGCAAGATTATGCTTAAAATTCTACAAGGAAGGCTCAAGCAGTATGTGGATCGAGAACTCCCAGAAGTGCAAGCTGGATTTAGAAGAGGCAGAGGAACCAGAGACCAAATTGCAAACATGTGCTGGATTATGGAGAAAGCTAGAGAGTTCCAGAAAGACATCTACTTCTGCTTCATTGACTATGCAAAAGCCTTTGACTGTGTCGACCACAGCAAACTATGGCAAGTTCTTAAAGAAATGGGAGTGCCTGATCACCTCATCGGTCTCCTGAGAAATCTCTATGTGGGACAAGAAGCTACAGTTAGAACTGGATATGGAACAACAAATTGGTTCAAAATTGGGAAAGGAGTACGACAAGGCTGTATTTTGTCTCCCTGCTTATTTAATTTATATGCAGAATACATCATGCGAAAGGCTGGGCTGGATGAATCCCAAGCTGGAATTAAGATTGCCGGAAGAAATATCAACAACCTCAGATATGCAGATGACATAACCTAGATGGCAGAAAGTGAGGAGGAATTAAAGAACCTTTTAATGAGGGTGAAAGAGGAGAGCGCAAAATATGGTCTGAAGCTCAACATCAAAAAAACGAAGATCATGGCCACTGGTCCCATCACCTCCTGGCAAATAGAAGGGGAAGAAATGGAGGCAGTGAGAGATTTTACTTTCTTGGGCTCCATGATCACTGCAGATGGTGACAGCAGCCATGAAATTAAAAGACGCCTGCTTCTTGGGAGAAGGGCAATGACAGGCCTAGACAGCATCTTGAGAAGTAGAGACGTCACCTTGCCAACAAAGGTCCGTATAGTTAAAGCCATGGTCTTCCCAGTAGTGATGTATGGAAGTGAGAGCTGGACCATAAAGAAGGCTGATCGCCAAAGAATTGATGCTTTTGAATTATGGTGCTGGAGAAGACTCTTGAGAGTCCCATGGACTGCAAGAAGATCAAACGCATCCATTCTTAAGGAAATCAGCCCTGAGTGCTCACTGGAAGGACAGATCGTGAAGCTGAGGCTCCAGTACTTTGGCCACCTCATGAGAAGAGAAGACTCCCTGGAGAAGACACTGATGCTGGGAAAGATGGAGGGCACAAGGAGAAGGGGACGACAGAGGACGAGATGGTTGGATAGTGTTTTCGAGGTTACCAGCATGAGTTTGACCAAACTGCGGGAGGTAGTGGAGGACAGAGGTGCCTGGCGTGCTCTGGTCCATGGGGTCACGAAGAGTCGGACACGACTAAACGACTAAACAACAACAACAACAAAATACCTAAAATATTTCAAAATAAAAAACATTGTGAAGGAGATCAATTATAGAATGCACATTTTATTCAGGAAAATTAGCAAAATAAAATGGAATATTATAAAACAACTTCCTTAAGCAGTAGGAGCCTATCCAGACAACTAACTTTGCAAGTTACTACCACCACTATGTATTATGAATGGATACATGAAAAAGACTGTCTTTTCCCCTACTCCTGGTGCACAAAGACCCCTCGGATAAAGAACCACATGTACTAAATGATGCTGCATATGCAGTTTCTGGAACTAAACTGGGGGTCACATGCACAGTGCCAAACAGATAATCAGTAATGTAACTGTCACAGCAGGAATCATCTGCTTGGGAGAGAGAGAGAATAAATCCAGGATTCTTTTTCAAACTGTCCCCACTGAGGAGGGTGGGAGGTCAGCATGGTTTCAGGCTACCCCATCACTCCTGGAGCATGACAATGTCAAAGATGATAATGCCATCTGTTGGGTAGCCAGGCACTCAAGTAAATACAAGAACATGGCACTGTGGATCGCCGGGATGTGCATGTACAAATCTGAACAGATTTATTGCAGCTGCAACTTTAATCAATTAATTGGCACAATTACTCAATGTACGGAACCTGAATGATTGGCGAGTCTGATAACAAGCAAAAATACTAGAACTTGGGACAAGGGCCTGGAAATAAATCTGCATCCAGTGTAAATATTTTAACAGAGCAGTTCTTAACTGTCTGCAAGAGCAGTTGCACATAGATTGGCCCAAGGTCAGCCAATAAGTTTCATGACCAATCACGGAAGTAAATGTAGGTTTCCTAACTCCAACTGCAACACTATTTTGAGCAATCTCTCCAAATGTGTTAGTAAGGAACTGCACAGAATCTTGGTGCTCATCCTGTTCCTGTACCCATTTGTAAAATCCTTTAACAAATCAACAGATTTACTGCAAGTTTTTCATTGCATGCTGGTATTAGATATTGTATAATATTTATAAAACCTGGAAACAATCTACAATAAGTCTGGTTCCTAATATGCTTTCAAATCTAAGTGCTTGAGAAGAATTTACTGAGGACTGTGGGCAGAGCATAATTGTAAACAAAAAACCCAAAAAGCTCACTGCTTTCATTTATAAAAAAAAAGCTTCTAACCAACCGGGTTAACTATATGAACTCAATAATTTCTCCCTAGTATTTTCCATCAATATCAATGGAATAAATAATAATGCAAATAAGACATTTTTGTACACAGGCCTATCGTTAAAAGCACATTTATATAAATGAAATGTTCAGTAACAAAAGCCAAAATGATTCCTTGGTAGCAGAGGCAACTTGTAACTATTATAGTAAACATACACCATAATTTACAAAAAGATGCCATCTGCTGTGCAAAGGTGCAATCAGCAGGCTATTTCTATGATGGACCCCTTTTATTCCTTATTTTGATTTTCGCCCTTCCTTTTCTAAAGCCCTCAAAGCAATAAGAGCTGGAATGGCAAGTAAAGAAGGGCTTCTCAGTGACCCCAATATAATTCGCTTTGCACTTTACCTCATTCCAAGGCAATGGACCTGTTAAGTTAGTTTCAGCATGAAGTGAAAAAGTCTGCATATAGAAATTCCGTGTGTAGCCAAAGTAACCGAACAGAAAGTACAAGCTAGCTTTTCAGAGTAAACCATCAAAGAATGGTAATCTAATGTAAATAGAACCTGTTAGTGCTAATATTAAGACATTCACCTGTGCATCATTTAATAAGCTCTGGAAGTGTGTCTTCTGTGCTTCTAGCTCTTTAAATTTTTTTGCTTCCCTTTCATCAATTTTCTGAAGCTGCTCATTCAACTGGGCAATTTTCTGAAAAATATAAACAGACAAAAGACCTGGCAATAAGATCCCACTCATTACATGCACAATGTATTAATGGTTAAACATCTTTCTTTGAACCTCAGTATTTATGCATGAATTCCTATTTTCTTTACAGGTAACTTTCAATATAATTCTATTTGTAATACATTTTTAATCATATTTATATAGATAGATGGCAGGATATTATTAAAGAGAAAACAGTTGCACTGATCCAAATGTTGTAGACATATAAAAGTGGTTCCTCCCTTTCAAATGACCCAAATGATTATTGCTTGCATCAGTGCTAGCACTGGATTTTGGGGGGTCCTTTGGCAAGATGCCCTCGGGAACAGGTCCCTTAGTGCTCTCACTTCATACCTATCACTGCTTGCTCTCTTCCTCTAAGCTCTATCTGTACAGTTGCCCACAAAGAGAATGTAAGGTGCAGCTTGAACTCCTCTTTCTTGCCATTGTTTTGGTTGCTCACACAATTACAGACGTCACTGTTTTGATACAAGTTATAACGGGCTAATGGTAGGGGTAAACAGTAAGGATCCACAGGAAGTGCTAGATTTGGGAACCTGTCTCAGGAAGTATCCTATTACTCCAATGGTCACTGGTGGATGTTGACCTCAGCCTTTCCATAGAGGTGGGTTTTGTTGTTGATTTGTGGGGGTGCAGCCTCTTCTCCCTGGATGGGAGATGTCTCCATTGGTTTGCATAGTGGGAGGGCTGGTGGATAAACAGCATTGATCCACATGAAAAACAGTTTGTGTCAATATCCCTCCACCAAATCATAATGCTCTGCGAAAATAAATCACTATTAAAACCAAGACCTATCAGTCAAAATGAATATCCCTCCCCACTCAATCTCAGGGTGCTAGTTTCAGTATTTATATTTTTAAAAATAGAGCAGTCACTTTTAAAAAAGTAGTGTTTTGGTGGCACTTAAGTTCACAGAGTGACTCAGAACTTTAGGGAGTCCTTGATCTGAACTGAAATGCATTCTTTATAGCACAATCTGACTTCGTAATGAAAAATCCTCAGCCAAATATGCCCTATTCACCTAATTATTCAGCAAGTACACAAAGCCAATGCACACCTCTAATATACATCACCACTAATAAAGAAAGGCAATTTGGTGGTGATGGTGGGGTTGTCTATCATTAGAACTGTTTGAAGCACGTTTTAGAATTTCTGTTAATACAAAATTTCACTATATTGCCACTTAAACATACATACTTTGAGGAAACTCAACAGTTCCACTTTACTAGCTAGTTAATATTGTTTTTGTCTGTTATACTATGTTGTGTATTTTTGTGTGTATTTATTTTGTAAACTACCCTGTGATGTTCAGAGGAAGGATGTTACAGAAATGTTAGCAATAATAACATAACATCTGTAATTAAAAAGTGTGCAGCAAATAGTTTTATGAACACCACATAAGGAACAAAAAAAAAGTTCACTTAACATCTACTTATGAAGATGCTTTCATGAACTTTGTTTCCAAGTTTTTGAACCAAAATAAACATAGAGTTAAAGACAAAGATATATAACTCTTGCCACACCCCCAGTAAGCCTCCAAAAGACTAATGAGTTGTTCTTTGTCACATTGTTTCTACTAAATTTTTCTTGGGGAAGGGCAAACGGCATTAGTCACTGCCATTAACATGCTATTTTGAAAATACTATTAGTTGTGTGTGTGCTTCATTTTACAGAGGCCATTACAACTGGCACTATCAGCTATTCTGCATGTGATTTTAAATTATATCATACTATTATATTTAAAACTATACTGTATATACACAAGTATAAGCCGACCCAAATATAAGCTAAGGCACCTAATTTTAGCACAAAAAACTGGGAAAACTTATTGACTCGAGTATAAGCCGGTTCACCACACCACAAACCTGGTAGTGGCAGCAGCGGCGGAGGAAGAACAAGCAGCCCAAAAGGGCTGCTTTCGGGCTGCCGCCAACAGTGGCAAAGGTGGAAGAGGAGGAAGGAGCAACCTGAAAGGGCTCCTTTTGGGCTCCTTGTCCTTCCGCCGCTGCCTCTGTTGCTCGCAAGAGCAGGCATAGGAGTCGTGGTTGGGAGAGGAACAGCGCAGCGCAGCTCCTGTACCTGCCCTTGCAAGAGGCAGGTGGCAGCGGCAGAGGGACCAGTGGCGAGAAAGGGCTCCTTTCGGGCCGCTCATCCCTCTGTCGCCGCCGCCCACCTCACTTGGGTGTAAGCCAAGGGGGGCTTTTTCAGCATTAAAAATGTGCTGAAAAAGTTGGCTTATACTCGAGTATATATGGTAGTTACAACAAAAGTTGGACTTTCAAGTGATTTGTGTGTTATATTAATTCAAATGCCAACTTGAATGCCTCCACTTTCAGTGAAGCTTAGCAAAGTTCTCCCATTTTATAGGAAAGGGGGAAAGAGTCAGCACTGTGGTGCTGCCAGTTTTAACTTACCTTAGAATATGCTTTTTGAGATTCATCATTTTTTTTCATCAATGCCTCTTGTTCAGCCACAAGCTTGTCAATGTCTGCTAACTTCTTCTCAATTTTTTCTTGCAACTTCTCAAATTCCTTCGACTTTTTTTCTAGATCAGTCCGCAGTGCTTTAACCCTTTTCTGTTTATAATAGAAGGAAAATACATAAACTGAAGTAGCTCAAATGCAAAAGCAAAGGAAGAAATCCAGCAATACTCTGTTTGCTTCAGAAATACATAACTGGGAGAACTTATTTTATTGGATAAAAATGTAACTTTGACATTCATGGTAGTTTCTAAGACTCTGTACATACCAAGCATTTCCCATTGGGGAGCACTGGGGATAAAATAGACCCCATAGCATAACCACCAGGGTAGGATCAGAACTACCCACAATTCCTATTCCACAGAGCTGATCCAGGAGAATACCATGGTTAAAGGCAGGGCTTTTTTCAGCTGGAACTCACCAGCTGAAAAACTCAGTTTTGGCACCTCCCAGGTGGGTGGCATTGCCATTATAAGAGAACAAGGGAGGTGTTTGTGGTGTGTTCTGGCACCTCTTTTTCTAGAAAAATAGCAGTGGACTTAAAGGTATTGAAAGCCGCAGAAAGATAGAGACACAAGAAAAAGGTATCCCTCCCCTTGTTCCACTTTCTGTAAAGGTAATCTATCAGAGCAGCCAAGGCCAACTCTGTACCATGGCCAGATCTGAACCCAAATAGGAAAGGATCTAAATAGTTGGTGTAATCCAAGAATATTTGCAGCTGCCCTACCACAACTCTCTCCATCACATTCCCCAAGAAGGGCATTTGCAACTGGTCAACAGTCATAAAGCCCAAGGGGTCCAGGGCTGGTTTCTTTAAGAGAGGCTGCACAACCACCTTTTCAAGGCAGCAGGTATCAGCACCTCACACAATGAAGTGGTAACCATGCTCTGGACTTAACCAGTCAAACCCCGTCTCTTAATAAGCCAGAAGGGATGGGGTTGAGAAGGCAGAGAGCCTTCTCAGTAGTGGCGCCTGCCCTGTGGAATGCCCTCCAATCAGATGTCAAAGAAATAAACAACTTTTGGATTTTTAGAAGACTTCTGAAGGCAGCCCTGTTTAGGGAAGCTTTTAATATTTTATCAATCATTGTATTTTAATATTCTGCTGGAAGCCGCCCAAAGTGGCTGGAGAGACCCAGCCAGATAGGCAGGGTAATAATAATAATAATAATAATAATAATAATAATAATAATACGGTTGGGCATATAGCTGCAAGCACTTTGTACAGCTAACTGCATAAGCTGAAGACAATCCTGTAACACATCACCAATTAAGGCATTGGATACTTCATCTGGAATGGCAATAACAGCAGCCAAGGTCACTCCAAAATAGAGTGTTGTGTAGCAACAGACTGTGCCCCACAGTGGGAGGCAGTATGATTCTGAAACTATAACAAATCTACAAACCTGTCTCATGTTCTCAGAAAATGGCACATGCGACTAGAAATTCAAAGACAGTGTAAGGGTAAAGAAACATGCCAAGTAAGCAATGTAACTCAGATGCTGGGAGTTTCAAAAGAAAAGGGACAGTATACAGACATTGTCAGATAGCCCCAAAACTACATGTAAGAATAAATAGGGCAGATGAACACCTCACTTCTGATGGGTGAATGGAAGCATAATTTCCCACCTCTGATTAGAAGAAAAGCTCAGGCCATGTAACAAGCCTCGCTCTTGCCTTCAAGACCTTAAAACATTTTAAAGGCTGCACTTTCATTTTCAACAAGCATCTTAATTCATTACTGTTAAATTGTGAGTCTGGAGTGATGTTTTTGTCTCAGGTTAGACCAGGGAGTTTTGAACTCAGATTAGCACAGATATTGTAACTGGTTGTTACAATATTCATTCAGGTGCACAACATTCATCAGAGAATGGGGAAGATTGGAAAGGACTTCTTAAAAGTTTATGGTACTTTTTCTAGTTAATTGATATCAATCAATTGACTCCACAGTTGAAGTCATTGCTTTAGTCTTCCATTGCATGTTCATGACTGATTTTGTGAATATAAATCCATATAATCTGATATGAAAGATTTTGATGTGCAAAAACCACAGCTTAAAAAGGTTAATTTAAATCTATTCTCCATACCTGGGTCAGCTTCCAAGCACTTACTTCATCTCTGATTTGTTTTTTTACATTATCTACTAAGTTCTGTAAGTGAAATTGAGAAAAAAATTATATAGGAACACATAAGAAAAAACAACAACAACAGGTAGAACAAGTATAAATTAGATATATATATTCTGTAAATCAAATGATAGAAAATTACTAAATTGGAAATAGAATGACATTTGAAAAATGTGACCATGAGAAGAGGGAGAGAGGGGCAATACAGAATAATTTTATGATTTGGGCAAGGGTGGGAAAACTGCCCCCCTCTGGGTGCTACATTCCCTCAAGGGAAATCTGTCAGGAGCTACATGCCAAAACTGGGCAAGGCTGGTGGAAATGTCAGTAGGGCCCAGATACATTTCACATTTCTCCCTCAAACTCATGTGCATATGCTTGCATGTGCAAATCCATGCCCATCTCTCTTTACTCCTTTCCCCAGCTGCCTTCCCTCCTTGTTCCGCCACCACCATGAAGCAATTAGGCCCACAATACAGCTTCTGTTGGCACCTACTGAAGCTGCTTCTTAATCCCATTGCTTTGTGGATGGGGGAGGGGGCAGACTTGAAATGTGAGGGGTAGAATTTTCCCACTCCTACTTTAGGGAAACCTCAATTCAAGACAATCATAACACCCAGTCTTGTCTCCATATCAAATAATTGGGCTCATTCATTCTCTGAGCTGTCCTTCAACCTCAGATTACATAATTAACTATGTCATACAACATTAGAGGTCTTGCCACAAACAGGACTGTCTGGTTGGTTTTCATTTCCCAGAGTCCTCAGCTACCACCTCAAGGCAGTCCTCCAGTTTGCTAGCACAATCTCATAGGAGTTCAGGTAGCATCAAATCATATTTTAAAAAAGGGCCCCCCAGTCATAAGATGCCAAGTTAAAAGGGAACCAGAAAAAATAAATCCAAAAAAGAATAGCTTATGGCTTTTAAGTTCATACAACTGGTTCAAGATAGCTTGTATGTGCCTTTCTTTCTGGTGGTCAAAAGCAGGACATCTTTTCCCCATCCTATGGGAAACTACTTTTCAGTTACACAAAACTGTAGTCATTAAATCCCCGATTCTAATCCAGTTATTGTTGACCACCCAAACCCCCTGCAAAACAAGTCACAAACAATTTACTGGCCCTCTGGATGCAAATGCATATATACCTATTTCCAGCCAGCTCAACAAGGCTTGGATGAACACTGCTATATGCTTCTGCATTAAATGGACCCAAACAGCTACACAGGCTTTTCTAACTGAACTGGAATACCTGTTGTTATAAATTGCTAAATAGGTTTACAAACAGTTTGATGCATGGGAAAAGTTTAGAGTAAGGTTGCCAACTAGTCATAAAATAGGACTTGGCCTGCTTTTCTACTTTAACAGCATCTTGAGCTGTAGAAAATAGCAGGTGGAGCTTTACACAGCATGGATATAAACATTATAATCTACTAAATTCTGCATATCAAGCTGATATTAAAGTCATAGCTATAGTAGCAAACAAAGGAGTTGGGAAACCTGGCTCACAGTTGCTTTATTTAGGCCTAAAGAACTTAAAGCTACATCAAGCTTTAAATATTGCAAATAATATGGCAGGATGATGCTAAATAGATTACTGGTAATTGACTTACACAGAAACATTCTAGTCAGTCATTTCACATCTTCAAATAATTAAAATATCATAATAATGGAATAACTTTTACAACCTTGAAACGTGTTTTTTCTTTAGTAAGGCTGCATTCAACTTCATCCAGTTTTGATCTGGCTTCATCATAAGCCAATTCAGTTGAATAAAGTTCTTGATTGACCTTTTTTAAATGATCTTCCAATCTGCGAATATTTTTCCTTAAAACCTGAATTTCTGATTGATATGCCATCCTCTTTCTTGAACTGTTAAATAAAAACCGAAAACCTGACAACACTAACACATCTTCAACAGTTTATTACAGGTTGAACCTCTCTGAAGATTTGGGGGGGGGTATGCTTAATTTTACTTCACTTCTGTATGGGGATGGCACTGATTTTTTTAAACTCCTGTGTCTATCTTACAGAAATACTTCACTGTGTTCCCACTGATGAAATAAAGTTTAATGATTGCTCACACAAACCCAAGCATTCCACAGATGTGCCAACCATTTGATTCTGACAAACAGCACTGATGATCAGACATATCACAATTACAACTGCTTATCACTACTCTAGTTACACTAGAACCCATTGTATGTATGAAATAACTCTCACTACTCCAGCTTCCTGTGATGAGTTTTTTGAAAGATTAAATTCAGAAAAATTTCAGAACTGAATGATAGAATCTCGCTCTTTTCACAGTAATCACATGATAATCTATAGTGGGTTTACAAAAGTTTCTGCAAAATGTTAGGTTAAAAGATCATTCAAGGTCTGGATCCATATTTTGACTTGAGAGGGATAGGCAAAGTCCATTGTGCAGTGCTTGATGGTCATCTGGTTGATGGGTGCTTAGAAACAGCAGCAAAAGGGGATTCGCCAGCCCTATGCTTGGTGCTTGGAAAACACTGGTCATAGGACTGGTAAAGTCCTTTCCAGTGAACCTGAACTCACTACCCATCCACTGTTGGTCAGCAAGTTTAAAGATGCTGTCGGCAGGGGCTAGCTGTGTGGTTGAGATCCCTGCAGGAAATATGGTTGATCCAGCCAGGGGCAGAGGAAAGGGGTGCAATGGGGGGTGGGCTACCCCCAGTGTCACCACTGAGGGGGGGTGACAAAATGCTGGGTAGCACTCATCACAGGGCCTGCAGCATGCCTGAGCCATGCTGGATCAGGCAACTGGCCATCAATTCTAAGCAGGAAGCTATTCAAGTGAGCAGTTATAATCTCATCTCATTTAACATTCAAGAATCAAGATGGATCAAGGAGCAAAGTAACTAAGAGCTATGAACAAGACAGCAATAACTGTGCGCGGGTGTGGGATTTCCCCATTCCCTTATATGTGTAAAATGCTTTAGATTAAATTGAATGTTCCACTGGTTTCAGTAAAAATAAAATAAAAAATCAACGAAACCAAACATCCAACTCAATTGGCTTGAAGCCTAATTAAAAGTCTATCAATTATTAACCACTTCATTTACCTTTCTCTGAATTTTTGTGCAAATTTTCCATTTTCATCATGAAGACGTTTGTTTTCATTCTGTGTTTTGAGTATTTCATCAAGAAGATGCCTAAGTCTTTTTTTCATATTGCTTAGATCAGAGTTCTGATTGGCTTGCTAGGAAATATTATAGAATATGATGAACATTATGAAAATTCTGCAACACATGGACTCAAAAACATATTAATTTGTATGTGTTTTTTAAGCTTACTGATGTTTCCACAATGTTCTTCTCCTCTAAATATTCAGTCATTAAAACTTTGTTCTCATTTTCCTGAGTAGCAATTTTCAGAGTCATCCGCCTTACCTAAGATTAAAAAGATAGTTTAATTGCTCATTCAGCATTTAATTGCAACATTGTAAATTTTCATCATAGTAAAATTTCTTGTTAAAATCTTGAAAATGTAGTTTCAGAGCCTCAGTTATAGCTTTGGAGCAGTATAGTGCTATATTTAGTGAAAAGATAGTATTTGCTGCTTATATCATAGTTATAATTATGTTTTCTTTTCCACCCCTGTCACAAAAAAAATAAATAAAAATACTTGGGCCCTGTTCTGTCTGTCGATGCAAATGAAAAATTTGACAGCTCCTAACTACCCTGCTACAGGCTAGTGGAACTTCCAAACCAGAATAAACAAGTGCATTGTGTCAGTGAGTGGGATGAAGGCACAATGTAAATGTCTATACTAAAAAGGAAAGCTTGCCCCAGTTCTCATGAGGGCCTAAAATCAATATTTTAAATGGCCAAAACATATTAAACATAACATATTAAACAAAAAAGTGAAAAGGGCAAACTAACATAAAAAAGGAAATTAAGAGAGGAAAAGGAAAATAAATCCAGTTTTGCAGCCATTTTAAAATGAACATAAATGTGAACCACCTTTTTTTGCAGAGGTCACAAAAAAGAACTTTATAGGATTCTTAGTATGCCTTTGTAACAGCACAGGCACCAGCATTGTTTTGGAGAATAGGACGAAAGCAATTTCTAGGGCCAGGGCCAGGGCCAGGCTTGAGTGCCAGGCTTAGTGTTTATGGTGCCCCCCCCCCCCCGGCACTGTCCAACTATACAATTGCATGAATCTATGATTCTAAGTGTTATTTCCCAGTGCTGGTGCACTTTCTGTTGAATCTGATCAAGTGTTCAGCACCAGGCAGCTGCCATCTGTATCTGCCTGCAATCCAATACCCTGGTACATCTAATATAACAACACTGCTATGGGCACTCTGCTGTAGTGTGTGATGGGAAAATAAAAAAAATAACAGCTACCCAACTCAAATGGGATGCATACAGAAACCCCAGGATAAGGATATGGAGGTGGCCAGTGGCAGTGTGCTGCTCATTAGCAGTGCAAAAAGGACTTCTAGTTGATGGCAGCACTATTGGTGGAGCCCACTAACACCTACTGCAGAAGAGGCCGGAATTAGGCACAGTGAGTCCTATTCAGATGTGTAGGTGCCAACAGATGTCCAACCATGCCTGCTGCTGACCCTGGGGGTCTGGCAAGCTGGACAGTATTATTTAAAAAAACCTATCAAACATTTTTCACTTAACTAGATAACATTTGCATTTATTTGACTTATTACAGGACACTTAACATTTCAATAGACACAGTGTTAAGGACTTCATGTGGCATTCACTTCTAGAGGATTTATTTGCTTGCATATAAATATTCAAAACTCACTTTTTCATGCCAAGTCTTTAAATCAGCCTTTGTCTTTGCTTCTTTCTTGTTTAATTCTTCAATAAGTTTTTTACTGTGTGATACTGCTTCCATTTTTGCTTTTATCTTGTAACTGAAATCATCGGCAATGAATTCAGCATCTTTAAGCTCTTTCCTAAGAAGAGGCAAGAATCAAATTATCCATCTAAAGAATGGATAACTAAAGAAGCTGTTTATTAACAAAATATTACCAAACCAGTCAGAATAATCAGGTTTTCTCAGACATCTCGCCCCATTCCACTGCCCATGTAGCAGCACTAAATCTGTCTCATTTTACAAATTCTAATATGCAATATGATCCTAAGTATGTTTACTTAGGTGTAAGCCCCACTGAGTTATATGTACTTAGAAGTACAGTCTTAGCCTCTTCCCTCTTAGGAGCATAATTTGTGTAAGTTAACCATCAGCCACATAGTTAAGAAACACATCTGCTAGCAATCTGATCTGTTATAACAAACATTTGTTATAATGTAGTGTGAGTTGACAGGTAGGATGAGCTGATGAGAGAGGATCAAGTGAGCAAAACAGGAAGATAATAATAATAATAATAATAATAATAATAATAATAATAATAATAATAATTTATTATTTGTACCCCGCCCATCTGGCTGGGTTTCCCCAGCCACTCTGGGCGGCTTCCAACAAAGATGAAAGATACACTAAAATGTCACATATTAAAAACTTCCCTGACCAGGGCTGCCTTCAGATGTCTTTTGAATGTCAGGTAGATGTTTATCGCTTTGACATCTGATGGGAGGGTGTTCCACAGGGCGGGCGCCACTACCGAGAAGGCCCTCTGCCTGGTTCCCTGTAACTTGGCCTCTCGCAGTGAGGGAACCACCAGAAGGCCCTCGGTGCTGGACCTCAGTGTCCGGGCAGAACGATGGGGGAGGAGACGCTCCTTCAGATATACTGGACTGAGGCCGTTTAGGGCTTTAAAGGTCAGCACCAACACTTTGAATTGTGCTCGGAAACGTACTTATCAACATAGAGGGTTGTAATCAACATAGGCATAAGCAGATAGTTCCACAGTGCAAGGATTTCTCCTTGCACAATGGAACATTCTCTGCTTTTCTGTTCTGGGAGTTTCCCCAAACCTCTAGAGCAGATTTGAAGGCAGCATAGAGGTGGAGAGGGAGAATTCCCTTTGCACTAGCACTAATTCTTGTGCTATAGCAAATATTTGGTTGAAGACTATCCTTACTTTTTACATCATTGGTAAATCATGGTGGTGCAGAGTTAGATGCTATTTTGTCCTGGCCTGATTTGCAAATAGTTCTTAACTGTGGTTTAACGTGAATGAGCAGCTTGCTGGTTTGTTCTTGACTTACTGCTAGTGGTTTGTTTCAATGAAGCAATGAGCTCAGATTTGAATGACACAAGAAGCCAGGAGCATTGGAGGAGCGAAGCAGGATCTTTTCAGCAGCATCCATCAGCATGCTGATCGATAGTAAAGCATGCATTAACTTTGGTTTGAAGCAGCATGTGACTACAGCCACTATTTTAAAGATTTTGTATAGTCGAGGTTTTTGTTATTTTGTTTGTTTGTTTGTTTGTAAATTTCTATTTTAGTGTTCCTCCCAAAGGATCCAAAGTTGGCAAAAATATCTTTAGTAATAAAACAATACAATGCAAACTTCTAAAAAAAAATTCAAACAATTACAGATTGAAGGAATGGGCTATAACCTAGCTAGAGATAGGTGGTATAAAAGAAAAATATTTCTGTTCCAAACGAGCCCAGGGTGGCAAACACACGAATGATAAAACTATTAAAATATTAAAGGCATCTCCAATACAAGTGCAGACTGGGAAATATTTCTAACTAAAATGCTTGTTGGAACAGGAAGATATTCAGTAGGTGCTGAAAAGATTACAGAGATAGTGCAGCTTCCTCCTTGCATTGTTTCTTCTATTATCACCAGGTTGGTCACTGCTTTCCTTTTGGGTGAAGACAGGGGGAAAGTAGGTGTTGAGCGATTCTGCCTTCTATGTCACCCAATAGCATTTATCTGCTTTTTCCTTGCAGAGGACCTACTACTTCTGTTCTTCCTCTTGCTTTGAACATAGCCAAAGAAACTTTTATTACCATTTTTAACCTCTCTTGCAAGCCTGTGTTCCTTCTGAGCTTTGGCCAGCATGATATTCATCCTGCAACTGATGGCTACTCATGTATATTCCTCCCCTTTCTTCAGTTCCTTATATGTGCCCTTCTTAAATCTCAGCTCATCTGTAAGCTCCTTTCCTTTCTTGCTGGAATTGTCTGCATTTGTGCTTCTGATATTTCACCTTTAAGAAACTCCCGTCCATCTTGGACTCCCTTCTCTTTGAGTATTTCTGACCATGGGATCTCACTCTGTAGTTCCTTAAGCTTTTTTTGAAATGGGCCGTCTTGTCTGACTACACTCAGCTTTCCCTTGCCTCGGTATCATGAAACTATTGCTGAAAGCATTGCAATAAAGGATGTTTTAAAAAAGGACTAAGTAACCCTAAACTGAACACATTTTTAATTATTCTAAACCACCACCATGAGAGGTGGTGGACTCTCCTTCCTTGGAGGTTTTTCAGCAGAGGTTGGATGGCCATCTGACATGGATGCTTTAGCTGAGATACCTGCATTGCAGGGGGTTGGACTCGATGACCCTTGGGTCCTTCCCAACTTTAAGTTTCTGTGAAACATTTGCAAATACCAAGAGGCTGGAAATAAAAGGCAAAAGCCTAAACCCCAAAGCAAAAGGTGAGTGTTCCACATCTGCACCACATAACATTTAAAAGCCACTGATGTGGTTTGGTGCCCAATCCCTGTAATCTTGAGAACGTGTAAAGCAGACAAGAGGAAGGAAGAAGTAACTTAATCAGACACAGCTTTCCAAAGAATGTAGTAAACTATATACAAAAGGAGAGAGACAACTTGAACAACAATAATACCACAAAAAGTTAAAATGCTTACTTTAAACTCATCAACAATGACTCAGCTATTTGTATTTGTTCAGCCATATATTTTCTTTCCCTTTCACACTCTTCTGTGAGATCTTGATGCAAACTGTTCACCATCACAAGTTCTTCATGAACTACATCATATCCAGTTTTGGTCTTTAAAAAGTAAAGAAATTAATCTGACAGTGCAAAGCTCAAAATGTTATAAGATTGTTCTTACCTATTTGTCTCCTTGTGAAAAGGTGTAGTGTTATTTCTTTAATTCTTTTGCATTTTTCTTTGCTGCCTTTTAAAGGATAAAACTGAGACTTAAAATCCAATCCTATGTCCATTTACTCAAAAATAATCTCAGCTGAGTTTAATGAGAATTAGGATTGCAAATTTACATACAGCTAAAACTCTTTGGGAAGCTGGCTTACTTTTATTGAGTATTAGGCAACCAACTATTTTCCCCTTTCCCAAACAGAAGGTGGCTAAAGTTCCTTCCTTTGGGCAGATGGATTAAGAGGGTGTGAATAACCATAGCCAATTTAAATAATTTGAGAGTGCCGGTCTACTGCAGTAAGTCCTGTTGTACATTAAAGATGGACACATTTATTGTGGCATAAACTTTTCAAAGAAACAAAGTTACAAATGTCCTCCTCTTGACTTTTCCACTCTGTGCCTATGTTAGATAATCCCTACCAAAATAGTGGTTGGAGGAGGACTAATCAAATAAAGTCTGGATCACTATCATCAAAACATTTAACATATTTTATCGCTTTTAGTTTTGTTGCATCCAACTTTGCTTAATCATACAGGCTTTGTTTTGTTTTTTTAAATTTCTATACCACCTTTCATCTGAAGATAACAGGGTGCTTTACAATATAAAATCACAAAAAATACATAGCATAAGAACAAAAACACACACACACCAGTTTAAAAGGATGTAGATTGTTTAATTAGCCAAAGGCATGGGAGGACAGACTATATGCACCAGCACTCTGCTTGTTCACAGGAAGCCAAGATAAACCAAAAAGTCGGATTTACACATGATCAATGTGTGCTAGAGTTAGGAAATTATTATAAATGATTTCTCTAATGATTTTTTACAGCAGTTTCAATGCTGCTTTGATAGAACCAATGAGAACAACGGTTCTTCCAATAACTTTCCTTTTCTTTTATTTTGCTTTTAAAAGTAGCAAGCATTTTTTTTTTTTAGTTAACCTTCTTTTAAATAGTTTTCAAATTGCTATTTAAGCTGTAAATCTACACACACTGGTCTGAGAAGACTCACTTACTCCACAGAAATTACTGCTGCACAGACAAACATAGGACTGCACTTTTAACTACATAATGTCATACCTGGTTTGAAAGAAAATGCTGACTTAACCATTAATTTAAAGCCACTTTTCTGGTTGGGTCTGTATTTAATTTAGCATTTATTGTTATATATATTTCAAAGAGTTTGGCTTAATCTATACATTACCATTTATAATAAATCTGCCTTTCCATTTCATAAGTTAGGACTCTTCTAGATTCCTACTTTAAAAGGTGCTGTACTTTCACATTTCTCTTTATCATTATTGGCATGTAATAATAATACAGGAGCAAAATCTCTGAAAAGGGCATGTGCCAAACTCACTGGGCGTGGGGGAAATAAAATAAAGTATTTGATCTGTTTACCTGTGTGTATATCTTTTTCACTTGTACCATAGCATCACCTTCATAAGACAGCTTTTCTCCCAGCAGAGGGCTGTATTTCTTCATGTAGGCTATATTCTCCAGAACTTTTGCATTAGCTACATCTATTTTTGTCAATTGGTTTACTGCATCCTGGAGCTGATTATTCTTTTCTTCAAAATGCCATTGTAATTCTGAAATATCTCGTGAACACTTCTCCCATTCTGCAGAAGAAAAATAAGCTATGCAGTATAACAAAATTATGACAACTGCATTTAAAGACGGAACATATAATTTCAGCTGATACACTGTCAGATCTCTACGCAGTTTCCTATGAAATATATGCTCACATAATCCTTCTATGCATATAACAGCTGCTGAAATCGTGCCCCTGGCAAAGAGAAACCAAGTTTGGTACCTTTCCTCACATCAAACCTTCCATCTTTGCTAGTTGAGTAGTGGAAACCCATCCTGTCACAGCAGGGAGCCATTTCACGCTCCAGGATGTCAGGGTGGAGCAAGTGAGTCATTACTTCCATGCAGAGCTACTCCTTGTGGCATCAGGCAAATCTCATTTTCTGTAGCATTTTCTGCTCATATTTCTTTCATCATCCTGTGGACTATTAAGGGATGAGGCAGTAGGAAGACCTTGGACAGTGGTATATGGTTCTGAGCCATCAAATGGCCACATCTTGGGGTGGAGTTCCATCCAGGAGTGTAGATGGGCAGGACTTAAGTTCCCCACACCCTTGCAGCATCTTACTCTACTGTGCGTCACTGTAGCTGTCCAATAGGAAAGTCTCTCAAGTCCTGCTGGAGTTTCTTCCTTCAGGGCTACCAATAAGCTGCCCTGCCCAGCTAGCCTTGTGCTCTCCAGCAAACTCTTTGCCTGCCCTTTCTCCACTTACCATGTGCCTCCTTCAAGCAGTTGCCTTGGCAGAGGCTGCCTACCTCTGTACTCTTTCCCTCTCTGAGCTGGCTATTACTCTTTTGTCACCTCTCTCAGCACTTCTCCCTTTCTTGGTTGCCTTCCCTCTTTCCTACTCCTCTGCACTCATCTAAAGAGTTCCAGTCTTCCCCTCAGGCAATCCCCCCTCTTCTCTAATTGGCTACATCTATGGCTCCTTTTGGCTTCTGGGTGGGTTAGTGCAGGGATGGAGAACCTGTGGCCTTCCAAATGCTGCTGGACTCCAACTCCCACAATCCCAAACCACTGGATATGCTGGTTGGGGCTGATGGGAATTGTAGTCTAACAATACCTGTGGATTCCCCACCCCTGGGATAGTGAGCATACAATGCCTAAACGTGACCTCAACCGTCATGGGCAGTCATGGATAGCCCAACCTCTGCCATACGTGGGAGTGAGAGAGATGCCACAACAAGCCGGGGGATGGGGAGCTGGTGGTGCTCAGAATGTATTCAACCTGGGCGTGGGTCCCAACCTTTGCTTCTTTCCCCTTGTTGGCCACCTATGACCCTTATCAGTAGATGTGAGAGCATGGGCAACTGTGAAGCAAGCTTGAAATAAAGCTGTTTTCTCTCTTTTTATTTCATAGCTCTGAGCAAAGTCCCTTGGCTCCTCTGCTCCTCTTGATTCTTGAATGTTAAAGGAATGATAACTTGAGATATTTACCATCTACTTGAATAATTTTCTATCTTAGAATAGGAAGTAATCAAGAAAAGAATCGAGAAAAGCAGCAGCTTCACCTTCTACTGCAAGAGGTGAATGGTGGGGTAGGAAAGAACCTAACTCTGCCTTGCTAAATAAATGATAAAACAGAGAGTACCTTGGAAAAAAGGGTTAGTTTGCTTTCGTGTTCTTTGGTGATTCTCTTACACTGCATTGCTTGAATCCTACTGAATGGTCCAGAATGTATGCAACTCCCCAACACCCTGTAAACTCATCTTGCGCAGCTCCATCAATGAATAAGCAGTCCAATTGGGAAAGGTTTACTGCCTTGTGCACCACTGGTAGTGTGAACTGTGGCTGATGAGAGCTGTAATGCAAAACATCTAGAAGGCACCAATTTAAGGTAGTTTGCCTCACTGGAATGCAAGATCCAACAGGAATAATTCTCCCCATTTTTCAGGTAGCCTTGGCTAAGCCAGCTTCAGATGATCCCCAGCTGAGCTGCGATGGAATACATACACTAATGTATCTCAGGCTGACCCAGGATGGGAGACTTCAGCTGGCTCAGTGAGAGATAAGCCTATTCCACCCCCCATCCCCCTCATCCTGGCAATGATGAGGGTTTGGATATAATGTCATGATATCTGTGTTATCAACACGGCTGACTTTAGTGACTGGCCACTGTTAATAATGTTATGATTCTAATTTCATTGCCTTCTAGTCTCACAGTTTCCTACCCACCCCAAGCTTCAAGATGCATATCATGCAGTCCATGACAACTTACACATAATCAGGGTGGCGCTGTGGGTTAAACCACAGAACCTAGGACTTGCCGATCAGAAGGTCGGCGGTTCGAATCCCTGTGACGGGGTGAGCTCCCGTTGCTCGATCCCAGCTCCTGCCAACCTAGCAGTTCGAAAGCACGTCAAAGTGCAAGTAGATAAATAGGTACCGCTCTGGCGGGAAGGTAAACGGTGTTTCCATGCACTGCTCTGGTTCGCCAGAAGTGGCTTAGTCATGCTGGCCACAGGACCTGGAAACTGTATGCCAGCTCCCTTAAGATGAGCGCCGCAACCCCAGAGTCAGTCATGACTGGACCTAATGGTCAGGGGTCCCTTTACCTTTACCTTTAAGGTACCAAAGGGCTTTCGGGGTCATATTCAAGTAAGTCTGAAAAAGTTTCTCACACCTGCTTTACAAGGTTAATTTTCATACCTCTTTGAACAGCTATGGGAAGCTGTTCCAGCCTCCAACGTGACAGGATATCAGCATTTAGGTATAGCTTTTTTCTGCGGTTTTCCTCAAACTTTAAAGCATCTGCGGCCCTTTTACGTTCCTCTTCTAATCTCATAACTAACTCTGTGACCTCTGCCAGAACAGCTGTTGTTTTCTGCTTTAAAGGCTGGACGTCTTTTGAAATAAAAAAAAAGGAGGGGTGTAGAAATATTTGTGGCACTGTTTCACATTTCAAGTTTATCTAAAATGCATGATCTGAGATGCATTTTTAACAAGTTTTTAGTATGTCACATACACAGTCCTAGAACCAGGCACACAAAAATACAGTTTATACAACAATAAACAGTGCTTTCCCCCCAGAAAAATAGGTGCCATAACTCACCATGAAGTTGTTACAGTAAGTTGCTGGGTGACTCAGGGCAGCCCTGAACAGATACCAGGTTGTTAACCATGTTCACACCCCAAGGATGTGCTAAAAACTACGGAAAAACTGTCTCCATAGCTGGTTTGGGGGTTGCCCCTGGTTGTGTTGCATGTCAAATAAATGCACCCCTGCCTCCCTCGTTCTCTTAGATTCAGTCGGAAGGCTAGGGCAACTGGGAAGCAGGAGGCCAAGTGCTTTAAATGTATGGTGGATATAATAATAATAATAATAATAATAATAATAATAATAATAATAATAATTTATTATTTATACCCCGCCCATCTGGCTGATTACTTCAGATTCCCTCCTCTCCCGTTCTCTTCTTTTCTTGTTATTCATCCTTGAGAAAAGCTTTCCTTATCCCAATGCCTGTCTCTGCCCATCTTTTATGTAATGCTCATGGCTTCTCTGCTCCCTTTACCTTACTGCTGCTGCTTTCCCCTCAAACTTGCAGTTCCTTTCCAGTTAGTTTCATTTACTGAGGGTCAGAGAAAAAGTGACCACGGCTTGAATAGGTCCAATTGACTAAATGAAGGTGGCTGCAGTTCCACACACGAAACTGCAGATGGTGCCTAAAGAATTCCAGATATGCTGCAGTCCCAAGTGGGCTTTCCCTTCTTTCAAAAAGCAACACATTAAGTATGACTGCCCAGAAGAATTGAATTCAGATAGGTGCTGCAACTTTATATTGATAGCTATAAGGTGAAGCCCATTGCTGTGCTATTTCATGGCAATCACATGAGGACTACATACCCTCTGCATTTTTGTTGTTGCAATAATGCTTCAGTCCTTGGGTTAACACTTCTCTGCCAAATTTCCTGCAGTATTTTGCAGTTTAAAACAACAGTCAACAGAGTGAATTTTGCACCTGGTCAGTGTAATAGTTTGAGGCTGTAACTTTCACACTTTTTACCCAATTTGGACCTCAGAAGATTCAAAATGACTGGAGGAGATCCAGAATGTATTGAAATAATTTGCGGGAGCATCATGGAAAAAGATAAAGCATAACAGTATAAAATGTGTACAACATGCATGGAATGTGCCTTGTTTTTCAGATTTTGCATAAGTAAATGCTAAAGCTTAGTCTAGCAACTGTATATATATATCCTCCATTTAGCCTACTATTGTAAATTACACAGACCAGGAATTATTGGGGTGTCATTGCTGGGCAAAACAATACTTGCCCCCTTCTTTTCTGCTAGAATCAATACTTAACAGTACTGCTTACCACTGTGCAAAGCAGCATCAGACACAACTCTGCCTGTTTTCATGAGAAAATATTCATCAGCATTAAGAAAAATTTGAATATTTGAATGTTTTCAGTGATGATAAATTATCCATGAAAACGCTATCCTGCAAATGTATATAGCTGTTTAAAAAACAGCTTTTTAGTAAACATTATCTAAAAGAAAATCTGTTTTGGTTTCTCAGGTTCAAAAACACAACATACTTTCAAAATCACTGTTATCTGATATAAGCAGTGAACACAGAATGTGTCGTGGAAAAGGAATTTGGAAAAGGTTCCTTCACTGTAGCTAAGGGCTATTTCAACACAGCAGTCAAGAGAATTACTGTTTTCTCCTTTGGTCCTCTTCCTTGCAGATATTTCTGAGTTGCAAATGGCAAACGGCACCATCCTACAGATTCCAGACATTCCAACCACTAGAATGGGCACTATCTAGTATAAATAATTCTATAATTCTCAGGAAATAAGTTGAACTAAATAGTTTGGCTAATAACATTGTGACAGAGAGGGTAAATACTCAACCATTTTTACCTTCCCAATATAACGACTGTTTAGCCTTCAGTTCAGAGGATAACCAGCTGCCTTCAACATTTTTAATATCTGACTCCCTGTAAATATAAGTAAATATTTTAAGGCTGGAACGCCCTTGTAACATCTACATGTTACTTCAAATCCATCTTCAGTATCCACATCTTTCATGAAACTATTGCCTTAATCAAGGGACCTATAACCCTCAAGATGTTGCTATGAGACTTCAACTCCCACCAATATGAGAATGTTCCCCGTTCTCATATTGAGAGCCAGTGTGGTGTAGTGGTTGAGAGTGGTAGACTCGTAATCTGGTGAACCAGGTTCGTGTCTCCGCTCCTCCACATGCAGCTGCTGGGCGACCTTGGGCCAGTCACACTTCTTTGAAGTCTCTCAGCCCCACTCACCTCACAGAGTGTTTGTTGTGGGGGAGGAAGGGAAAGGAGAATGTTAGCCACTTTGAGACTCCTTCAGGTAGTGATAAAGCGGGATATCAAATCCAAACTCTTCTTTTTCTTCTTCTTCCTGGCTTATCCCCTTAACACCTCAACTCTTGTGGGAAGTGAAATATCAAGATGGCGGGGTGGGAAGTCACTTTTAAATTTGTATTAAATTTGAATTAAGGTGATGGTAAATACATTTTTAAAAAATTGAAAAACATTAAAAATTAATTGGTCAAAATATAAGTGGGGATCCCACAAGCAGACTTCCATCATTTAAGTGAATGGCACTATTTAGCAGGAAGAAACACCAATGAAAATCCTTGTTATTACAAATTTTATATGGCTGTTATTGTATATATTTTAAAATTTTATATATGGATGTTTTATGATGGCCTATATTTATAATGCCTAATAAAGGTTTGGTGAAGTAAGTAAGCAAGCATTAAAGTGAATGGGGAAGCCCTTATTCATGCTAGAACTCCATGTGTGTATTAGTAAAATAAAAACAATTAGAATGGTGCCTGGTACAAACATTAAATCAAAACTCAGAAGATCCTTACCATGGAATTTTCTCCAGCTTGTACAAGTGATCATACTGCGAATACAAAGAAGATGCTTCATTAACATTTTATGTTGTAGAATTTGCACTGAGTATGTGTATGGAGATAAGCTGAATTTGTTTTAAAATGATTTCACAGACCACAGACTTTTTTTAAAAAAAAACAAATCATACAAATATGACAGTAATGTTATATTTTATGTATTGCTTTCCTAAACATGTCAAACCTTGTAACAGCAGCTTTCATAATGACAGTCTATGAATCAGTTAACAAGGTTAAAATCTTAATTTTTCTATTATTACTTGGCTTACAAAGTAAGTGTAATCTGCCATACATTTGAGTTGTGGATGTAGTGTGTGACAGTTGGACCAAAGGGTTGGATCAAATGATCCACCTCTGGGCTATTTGTGATTTCACGTTTAAAGAAAAAATATATAGATATTGTGAAAATACAATGACTGGACACACATCCTGTTCTGATATATTGAAACCTGTGTTTCCCAACCAAACTGAAAGTTTTTAATTTTGTAGTCAAATAGCAGTGGAGGGAGCAACCCAAAATGTCCATCATAAGGCAATCAAAATAAGAAAATTCTATACACTATTATTATTTATTTAAATTGTTTACTGTCCTCCATCCAAAGAATTCAGGGTGGTTCACAGCATCAAAATACAAAATACATATTGTTATGAATGCGGGCGTGGTTGCTCGTGGTTGGTCTTTTCAAGGCTTTATTATTTGTCGAAAACGTTCACAATGCAGGCTGACTCAATTCCATGTCTGCTCAGTCGCTAGCAGAATCTGGGAGTGGGCAGTCCTTAAACTCTCCCCAGCAGAGCAGTTTTTTGACCCCCATGCTACGCCTCCCCTCTCTGCGCATGAGCCTACTGCGCAGAGAGGGCGTGGGCAAAGCAGGACCTGCCTCCCCCCCCCCCGCTTTGCTCAGGTTCAGTGTTGCGGCTCTCCCTTGCATCTTCTGAGCCCTGCATCCCTTCCCCACTGGAGGCGTGGCTTCGCTCCTCCCCGGAGGATGAACTGCTTCTCAAGATCTTTGGCGGCTCCCTGTAACCCAACTGCCCTTCCACCTCCGGTCTCTGAGCTGCTGGCAGTTCCCTGACACATATTAAAAACAAAGCAAACCAATAACCCCCTCCTCCCAGAAACACATTTAAAAGCACATAGAATGTTAATCAGACAAAGGCCTAGTTCAAGAGGAATGTTTTTGCCAGGCGCCTAAAGATGTAAAATGAAGGCACCAGGCGAGCTGCCCTGGGAAGAGCAACCCACAAATGGAGTCTTCGGAATTATTGCTTTTGTTGTTTATTATTGTTTTTGTAGTATTACTTGTGTCCCTATTTTTGATGTGAAATAAAAATGAGCTCTAGTAAAATTTCTGTGAAGGTTGGGAAATAAATAAAGTACCTGTTGAAAGGATTCTTCCACTTTTACTTCTAGATCTTGAATGTGATGGATAGCTTTGTGAACACATGAAGCTGGAGCATTTACAGCAGCACAGCTACGTTGCTTGCAGGGCAAGCCCCCCAAAATGTTTTCCTTCATCCCTAAAAGTATTCCAAAAAAAGGGGGGAAATGCAATAAATATTTTTAAAGTTTTACAAGTTACAAAGAATGTGTGATCACTACATTTTATAACTAGATGTCACACAGAATCTTGTATTTCAAGCTCCCAACACTTTTTTCTTTCTTAGAAACCAGGTACAATAGGGACCAATTTGGATCAGGATGGTGGTGGGAAGATCTGTCACGCTGGAAGAAGTTAGGATGCTGACTCAGGGCCTCCATGGTATTGCCTCCATTGGTAGCCAATGTAAACCAGAAAATGAAGCATTGCAGGTACTTGTGTGCTATGCCAGGCCATCTGCCAGCAATGCACTCACTATGGGCCTCCTGCTGTGCCAGCCTGGAGCTGGTGTAGCAAAAGATTGTGTTTTTACTCCTCCTCCACCTTTTACCTTGTCCAGTGTGAGTTACAGGTCTTCAAAGGTGGTGGTGGCTTCACCACTCCATTCAGTCTTGCTGCTCCTGGCCAAAATTCAGGATTGCGGCCAATTGCCATAAAAAGTAAAAAAATAATAATTACAGGCTTGCTATGCAGCCCTTTGCAGTTCAGTGGGACTTTGGTGGGATCTACAGTGGTTCTCAAATGCCTTGGTACTCAAACAACTTCGAACCCAAACGCTGCAAACCTGAAGTAAGTGTTCTGGTTTGCGAACTTTTTTCAGAAGCCGAATGTGCTCCGTTCTGAGTTAAAATTCCAATTTGAGTGCCACACTTCCGTTTTGAGTGTTACGCTGCTGATTGAAGTTTTTCACTTCAGTTTTGAGTGCCACACTTTCGTTTTGAGTACCACACTTCTGTTTTGAGTGTTACGTTGAGTTCTGTCTGTCTTTGCTAATTTTGCATTTTTGTTTTCGAGGCTTATTTGTTTTGTTTTTCTGACTGTGTGGAACCCAGTTCAGCTACTGATTGATTGATTGTGTGACTGCAGTACATTGTTTATTGCTTTCATTTTATGGACCAATGGTCTTGTTAGATAGCAAAATTCATGTTAAATTGCTGTTTTAGGGGTTCTTTTTAAAAGTCTGGAATGGATTAATCCGTTTTGCATTACTTTCTATGGGAAAGTGCACCTTGGTTTTGGAACGCTTTGGTTTTGGAACTGACTTCCAGTATGGATTAAGTTTGAAAACCAAGGTACCACTGTACACACATATAAAAACTGTTCTGAAAAGCGCTTTTAAAAATACATTGAATTTTCCATCGCCATCAAGTGTCACATTGTATATAGCACTTACAACACACTTAAAATGTTTTATTTGCAGTTATATAGCTGAGTCCTTACTCTCAGGTAAGAATATACAGTCTACAGCTTTTGCTGTTAGGTATATATTTTGCCCTCTATGGCTAACAGCAACTTGCAGGGAGGATCAGGACTAGGGCCATGACATGGAGAACATGTGTCTGACTACCCTGACCCAATATTTTGATCCTAATCCAAATTAGGCCCCACAATCTGAATGAATGAGAATGACTGAATCAGAATAGAAAAGATGTGGATGGTTTTCATGTAATAATTACTCTGACTCTTAGTTTCCAGTTCCAATCAAATTTCACATACATGCAATAGCCCAGACTTCACACTTATCCCTCCCTAAATCGTGCTAGGGAACCATGTACACCGGTCCAGGTTATTAGTCTTAAAGACTGAGGAAATCATAGAAATCATAAAATCACAGAGTTGGAAGGGGCCATGACAATTATCTAGTTCAACCACCTGCAATGCAGGAATCTTTTGCCCAATGTGGGGCTCAAAGCCATCGCCCTGAGATTAAGAGTCTCATGCTCTACTGACTGAGCTATCCCTCAGGTAAAAATCCAACATCAAGGCAAGCCAAGCTGGAAGTAATAATCCCAAGAGAACAGTATTAAGGGACAACAGCAAAAGTGGGGATAGATACTATGGAGGGAGGATACAACCAAAGTACTGCATATACAAATACACACACACAAATTCAAAAGTATCAGGAAAAAAGAGAGTTTAAATCTGTTCAAAACTTTAAAGAAATGCAAATTGTACTAAGTTCCAAGAAGCAGGGCGGAAATACCTTCTGGTTTTTGGCGGTTATCCTTGGAAGAAAGTAATGACATTTCAGTCATTGTTGCCCACAGTTCTTGGCAGCCTAGTTTGGTTTTTTTAAAACAACAAAACAAATAGATAAATATACCATTATAATGTACTGTATTCAAAATATGAACATACAGCATTGCTAGTATAATTCATATTTTCCATTTTTAAAAGCCATTGGATTGTCAAAATCTGCTTATTAATTATTCCAAGCACCAAAAAAATAGATATAAGTGAAAGAGAAATGAGTACACAACTGAGGCTTTACTTTTGTTTTCCTCTGTTGCAACTCTCGGTGCAAAGCAGCTTGTCTTAAGAAAACGAGAATAGCTGCATATACACAAAAGTGGAAGTGGAAGTAAAGCTTGTATTCTGCACCCTCCCTCCTATCAGCAAGAGTGGTTGATCCCAAAGACAAATACATAAGCTCTAAACTGGTTCTCATATTGGACAATTTCTTAGGAGCTGAGTAGCAGGCTACAGAGTTGCAAACAACCCTTGATATAAATCAGAAGCAACGTTGTAAAATCAGTACAGTACTGTACTAGGACTTGTTTGTTAAATTACTCAGCGTTTAATGTTGATCCCACCCCTTTACAGCTGGGAAAATAACTGTAGCATAAATTATTCTTTCCACTTTAAAACAACAACTTTGCATTGCCCTTTTTATTTAAATCTGGCGTTTTGGGGCAGTAGTTTAAGAAACAATGGGATGTGTTTCTTATTTAGGATAAGTAGAGGGAAATACATTGTTTCAACCACAGGATGCATTTTGCATTCAGGAAATGACACTCAGGAAAGAGGTGAGAATAAAATACAGAGCACTACTACAGGTGCATAGTCTCATCAGGTATGCTATGCAAATGCTTCTACATTCTATTTCACACTTCATTAAATAAAATTAAATAGTCAGCAACACACATATACAACATTCTAAATTACTTAGTTTCTTCAAACTTCCCTAAGATATGGATTTAAATACATTAAATATAGAACAGAAATTTCAATAGAAAACTGAGAATTTAGCACTAAAACAATTCTTCATTAACAGGAAAGCATAATTCCACACGATTGCTTTTAAAATCAAGTTACAATGGCTGTGTGAAATGGAATGCTAAACCATAGTTTAGCGTTGTGAAAATGAGATTAGGTGAACCTCATGATCATACACCAGAAGTGCCCCATCAGAAGATCTTAGGGTTCAAAGTAAAAAAAAAAAAAAGGAATCAGGACCCAAGTTGTTTACGGCTTTGTGAATTCACACAAGAACTTTGAACATGACCTAGTAGCAAATCCACAACCAGTACAGCTCTCTCAGCAAAGGAGTAGTATTCAGTCAGTAAGTAACCTTCTCCTGTAAGCAGTCTAGCTGCTATATTCTTCACTTGTTGCAGATTCCAGACCAAATAAAAGAGATGCCCCACACAAACTGAATTCTCTATGGACCACTGTGATCAGGCTCTCCTAGTCAAGGAATGGTTGCAGCTGGCAAACTAGCCAAAGCTGATATGTAGAAGGGACTTCTACTCACAGAGGTCACTTAGGCCTCTAGTGTCAAAGATGGATCAAGGAGTACAAGTTGGAAATCTGGTCCTTCAGAGAGAGCTCCATCCCATCCAGAATAGGCAATTGGCCTATATCCTGAACATGGGAACCAACCAACCAACCAACCAACTAACTACAAAGCCTATGTTTTTCCAAGATTCAAGCTCAGTTTATTCACCCTCATCCAGTCCACCTTTGCATCCAGGCATCAATCCAGTGTTTGCCCAGCTTCTTCCAACTTAGATATAGTCTGGAGGTGTAACTTTTTTTTTACCGTATGTTGAAATGTATTCAGCCTTACCAAATGCTTTGCTTCGGCTTTGAATAAATTACTGCAGGTCAGGCTGTGGTAGCATGTTTGAACAGTTATCTCTTCTATATTTTTAATTGAGTGGCACAAATTAAAAGAAAAATTAGATACAATTATCTTTTTTGGCATTTGAGTATTTAAATATTTTGTGCATATTTCAGCATTTGATCATTAATTTTCTTTTAAATTCTCTGCCAATAATTGCTCACTGTTTTAAAGGATCACAGTGATGTGTGATTTGTACAAACATATGGAGCAATTATACTTAAACTAAGTTTCAATTTTCAGTTACTAAGGCAACCAGTGCATCCAGAAAAAAAAGTCTAGCTAAGGCAAGCCAGTATCTGCATCAATATGCCTTTTGTTCAAAAAGAATGTTAATACTGGTCCACTTCACAAAAATGTTAGGATTAAGAAAACATAGAAAATTGTCATATCTGCAGGTGGTAAAATGGTTATGTTGGAACTGGAATGAAGTTATGTTTTGTATCTACTCTGAAATTTAGATGGATGCATATATGTGAAAATGCTTAATTGAAGTAAGCCATGCAAACAAGCTATTCTGAAATAACAAAGCTTAATATATATGGGTTAGCTAAAAATTCTCATGTACCAGTCATCAACAGAAGGTGGATTTGACTCAACCTACTCACTATGAATGCCTCCCTTGTTCTGTTTTAATGGTAAAGGAGCGGACATGAGAGGTGTCGGAACCAAGTTCCGGGGAGTTTCAGCTGAAAAAAGCCCTGTAAGGTCATTTTAAAAATGAACATAGTAGACCTTTCTTTCAATAAGTTAAACTGTTTTAACTATTCTACACATAAAAAAGGTAAAGGACTCCTGACAGTTAAGTCCAGTCGCGAGCGACTCTGGGGTTGTGGCACTCATCTCGCTTTACTGGCTGAGGGATCTGACATTTGTCCGCAGCTTTTCCGAGTCATGTGGCCAGCATGACTAAGCCGCTTCTGGCAAAACCAGAGCAGCGCACGGAAACGCTGTTTGTCTTCCCGCCGGAGCGGTACCTATTTATCTACTTGCACTTTGATGTGCTTTCGAACCGATAGGTTAGCAGGAGCTGGGATCGAGCAACGGGAGCTCACCCTGTCACAGGGATTCGAACCGCCGACCTTCCGATCAGCAAGCCCTAGGCTCAGTGGTTTATTATTCTACACACATATATAGAAGCAAAAAGCAAAGTAATCTGACTATGGATCCTTATACAGCCAAAATGTAATGTTGTATATAAATTTTGTTGCTTTGTTTGGATATATGTGATACATACTGTAAGAACATTTTCAGACTGCTCAATTTAGTGATACTATTCCCCCTCCCACTGGTTAATAATAATAATAATAATAATAATAATTTATTATTTATAACCCGCCCATCTGGCTGAGTTTCCCCAGTCACTCTGGGCAGCTTCCAACAAAATATTAAACTACAGTTGTCTGTTAAACAATAAAAGCTTCCCCATATATATATTAATTAGTTGAATTTAAATATTCATAGTAAAATGTGACATTGATCAAATATGAACCATCAGGAAATCAGCCTTCAAACTCACTTTTATACTCTGGTCAGAGAAAGAAGTAAGTGTTATTTGGTTAAATACCATTAGACCTAGTTCCAGCTGCACAAAAAAAATTGAAGAATGCTAAATGTTCAGATGCTATAAAAAAGCAGCCTCCCTTCATACCCACCAATATCCTTTTGAACAGTGTTTACCTGTTAAATTTCTTTTTGACTCTTAATTATTTCTTTATACAAAAGCATCTTCCGGTGAGGCAAAATGTGAGCTTATCTCATGGCTCCAGTTTGGTGCTTAACTATAATGAAATAACAAACACCTGATTCAACTTCATAGATTTGTAGCTCCAAAGGAACACGTAAATAATCTAGTCAGATCTATAATACATATACTGTATGATAGAATTTTCTCTTGATTTTCATCATACTCTAACATTTATCTATAAAGCTGTTTACCTTTAGGGAGGGAAACAAAACACGTAATATAGGACGACACTTGATCACTAAAAGAGAAGCCTGTTTGTTTGCCACCACACTGGACAAAAAGAACTGTGCACAATGTGTTGGCATTGTAAAAATGTATGAGAGGTGGATCCTGAAAAAGCACAAAGAACCACAATGCCATGGAACAATACAGAATTATGGAGTACAAAAACACTGTGCACCTGTTCTCTAATTTAAGGAATAGTGAGCATTACTGTGTAAGAATATAATTGAGCTTCTCAGCAAAAAAATAGCACTGGTATACACAATAACTTCCCATTCTGAAAACATATATTACCACAACACTTTGCCACAGAACATGAGGGGGGAAAGAGAAACAGAGAAGAAGACTCCAAGTTAGCAAAGAGGGGTAAACATTTATCAGTAGAGGCTTACCTTACCTTTTCTTCAGAAACTCATTGAGGCTTTTAATATGGAATGCATCAGACATGAACCTACACAGACCTTTAGATCTTCATTTGAGTCTCTTATCCAAGTTCCCCCTCTGAGGAAGGCTTGGAGGATGGTGACAAGGGAGAAGACCTTTTCTGTTGTGGCTCCCCATCTGTAGAATGAGCTCCCCAGCAAGGTCTGCTGGGCACCTTTGGTGACATCTACTAGGCACCAGGTAAAGATTTGTCTTTTTTCCCAGGCTTTTGATAAGACTAGGATGATCTTGTATACATCATTGCATACTGCTGAAACTTCCTGTGGCTGTTATGGAGGTTGCTGTTTTTTGTTCTGTTTTTTATATAACATATCTATTTGTGTTTTTCGCAGTATTGCAGGTCACTTGGAGAAATTCAGGTAACAAGTGACCAACCATTCTTAATAATGATAATGTAAATAGGGTGTTTCTGCTGTAAATGAGTACACTGCAACTCTTCCTAGTGCTCCAGCCAGATGCTAAATTCTTACAGCCAAATATTCAGCATGTTTAGATGGAAATAATTGGATTAACTGAGGGTGGCTTTCTGGTAAAGTCACTTATGACTGCAGTCTGTAGATTTATTGTTTCAGAATGGAAATACATACTGTACTGTTTTTACGAACCTACAATTCTTGAATATTCCTGTAGCCATCTGCTTTCTCGTGCAAATTCACCTCTCCTAGCAGGCTGATTTCTTATCTTGGGAGCTGAGATGGGGCAGGGAATGGGTTACAGTTTTATTTCAATCCACATTTTATTTATTTTTATCACCTGCTGGCTTATTGCTATTTATTGTTCTGCTGCTTTATTATTTATTTATGGCTTGTTTTAATGGACTTAACTGTTGTTTTAAACTGTTGTTTTTGTGTGTTTTATGATTTTGTACACCAGTGTGGGAGGGCATTATCCTAAAAGGCAGGCTATACATTTTTAAATAAATTTATAAGTAAATAATAAACAGCTGGGAAGGAATTTGCAGGGGGAAATCAGATATTGCTTATATACACCTTCCTCTTTCACCTGCTGATTCAGCCCAACAATTGTCACCCTCATACCTGCATTAGTGCTATGAGGCAAACATTAGGTTGGAATCCCAATGTTTGCTTTGTAATATGTAATTCTGTCTCCAGTGACACAGCTACTTGCTTCAGCTGTGACTATTCAAATTATAACTTTGACAGCTGAATCACTCAGGTCAGGTACTCTAAGAAACTTCATCAATATTACCATTTGCTCCAGGACAACTGCAGCAGATGGATGACAGATATATCTCCTGCCCCTACTTCAGTGCTCCCCAAATGACCCAAGGCTGGTTGCCCAAGTCAGGCTGATTGCCTCCATCCAGCCACCAGGCCCTGTCAGTTCACATGGAATTCTGCCATCCATCAAGGTTACAAAAAATGATGATAGTCAGAATATAAAATCCTATCAAGTCCCTCTACCAGATGAGTGCAAGGAATTCAGTCTGGGCACCTCAGCTGTTAGAGACAGCTGTGTACAAACACTCTAAGCTAGCATGTGGAGAAAAAGGAAAGTTTAATGCACTAGAAATTTTGCAAAGAGGCTGGAATTCAGACAAAGGAGCAAGATCCCCATGCCTACTGACAAAACTAGGGAGTCCTACACAAATCTGCAAAGATGATTTCTGATTAGACAGCAGCCAGGCAGACACATCCACAAAGGGCTGACTCACAGGATATCACAGTGCCTTCATTCCCACATAACATAAACGAACAAACTTGTGGGCTCCCAGAGAGGAGATTATGTACAGCTTTCTTCCCCCAGTTATTTTGCAGTTGCACTGTGCTGAGCTAAGCCATGTTTTGGCTTAGTCTGCTGTCTGAACCTGAGCTTGTGGTTTAATGGTCTCAGGCAAACCTTGAGCTGTAAAGCATAGGAGAAATCTTCCAGTGTTGATACTGCATTGGGTGAGTATTGTAATCCAAGAAATGCCTGTTGTAAATTTTTTAGTTGTGAGTACCTGATGCATCTAAACAGATGTGGTTGTATAGCATGGCTTGACTGTAGATGATGGATTTTGTGGTCTGTTCTAGGTGAAAGCTGGAAACATGTAAGTATGTGTAGTGGTCAGTTTCCTATATAAGGATTTGCTGGATTAAATGGGATTTATATTACTGTTGTTGTTGTTATGCCATTGCACAGTAGTTTACAGAAAGTGCTCCTCTTGCATGGATTAGTCTACGCTCAGGTTGAAGATGGGGTGAAAGTTGCTGAAGTCTTGGTGGAACTGCACATGTGCCTCCTGTTCATGAATCAAGATGACAAAGATTCTCAATGTATCTCAAGTAGAGGACAAGCTTTTGGGAACAGAAAATGAGCAAGAGTTATTACTCTAACATGGCCATGAAGATGCTTGCATACTGCTAAGCAATGGCCATGCATATAACTGTCATGCCACTGTGCTAAGTGGTAGCTAAGTATGTTGAAGACTCCATTAAGGATATTCCTGATAGTTTGCAGACCATCTTTGTTTTTGTAAAAAGTGCCTCAATGTTCATGGGAGCTAGGAATGGTATTTTCCGGGGAATTGCCAATAGATACTAGTTTCCTCAGGAAATCTGGGATGTTCTGTGTGCAACTTGGAGTGCTGGTGGCGAATAGAGTCTATATAACTAGAAAACCCTACTGTAATGGCACCGATGCCTTATACTATGGGGTACCCAAGGTTGCCTGATCTGTGTATTTTGGGAAGCAAACAGAAGATGCTAGTGGTTCCTCAGATGTGTTTCTATAGATTTGGTCTTACTCACCTGTAGGAAATTCCTTCATCAGCTTTTGTGGTTCCTTCTGGTATTCCTCAGTGGGATCTGAGGATATGAGCCTGTAAAAGGTGGGGATGGAGGGTGTAGTGGCTAGGAGATGAAGTTATAAATCAGAAAGCCTCCCATTTTAATTTATCAGATTTGTCCTGGAATGGGTAGATCTGGTTTTAATGGGGGTGGGGGTGGGGATACAGACTAGCATTTGGATGCTACCAATGCTATGTGCTCCCCCGCCTGGAAGCATCCTAACTTCTTTTTACCATTGTTGTAAGGACTGCACGTAGATGATACAGGCAAAGCACTTCAAAGACTTGGAAATACTATACAATACAGTTTTTCTTGTTGTTGTCATTGTGTGCCAAGGGTGCATAGAAAAATCCTACCCCAGCCTTTCAGACTCATTTTCAACTGAATCATAGAATAATAGAATTGCAGAGTTGGAACTGGGTCAATGTAGGAATCATTTGCCCAACGTGCGACTCGAACCCACAACCCTGAGATGACAAGTCTCAGGAGCTACCGACTGAGCTATTCCAGGTCGACAAAGCCTGCAAACTGGAAATACTTTTGTCAGGCCCAAAACACGTTTGGGGATATCCCCTCCTAGGGGAAACACCTGGAAAGATCAAGTGGCATTGTGGCCCTTAAGTTACGAAAGGGTGGGAGGAGGAAGGAACTGACTGTACAGAGAGCTAAACTCTGTCCAGATTACCCTGACCCTCCCCAAGGAGCTCATCTTTGTGCTTCGAATGACACTTCTGAGAGCCAAGCCCACTGTGCACAGGTCAAGCACCTTCAGGGGGTCATGCTGCCAAAAAGGTGCAGTGTACCTTTCCATGGGCATAGCCAGGATTTCTTTTTTGGGGGGGGCAGCCAAAGTTCTTGAGTTTTTTGGGGGGGATCTATCTGCTCCCCCAAGGGACACTGGTGGTGCTGTGGGTTAAACCACAGAGCCAGGACTTGTCGATCAGAAGGTTGGCGGTTCGAATCCCCACGACGGGGTGAGCTCCCGTTGCTCGGTCCCTGCTCCTGCCCACCTAGCAGTTTGAAAGCACAAAGTGCAAGTAGATAAATAGGTACCGCTCCGGCAGGAACGTAAACGGCATTTCTGTGCACTACTTTGGTTTGCCAGAAGCAGCTTAGTCATGCTGGCCACATGTACGCCGGCTCCCTCGGCCAATAAAGCGAGATGAGCGCCGCAACCCCAGAGTCGGTCACGCCTGGACCTAACGGTCAGGGGTCCCTTTACCTTTTTACCTGCACCCTACCCTCCTTTGGCTACACCATGTACCTTTTGGGGGCTAGCCAGGGTTTCCCAAACTGGGGTCTCCAGCTGTTGTTGGACTACAATTCCCATCATCCCTGACCGCTGGCCCTGTTAGCTAGGGAAGATGGGAGTTGTAGTCCAGCAACAGCTGGAGACCCAGGTTTGGGAAACACCTGGCTAGGCTATCTATGCCTTGGCCCGTTGCATTCCCGCCGCAGCAGACAGGTGCAGATTCAGGCAGCAACACCATCCCGTCTTCGCAACTTCAAAGCTCTGCTCCCCCCTCCCTTCCGCGGAGAGGGCGGGGCGCCGCTCCTCGCCTTCCCCCCCATCTGTGGAAGGAAGCTCGAGCCCTTCGCCTCGTCCGGCAGCTCGTCCTGCTGAGCCCGCGCGGAGACTCACCGGCCCCGATCCCGCCTCGCGCTCCACGCGGCCTTCCCCTCCTCCCCCGGCGGCGACGAGCGGCGCGTCCTTCGGCAGGAGTTCGTTATTCTCGTCGTCTCCAGGGCGACGGCTGCGTCGAAGAAGCGTGGGCTACACTGCAACACACACACACACGCCCCCCCCCCCCCGCAGCCTGAGGGTCTTTTGCCCTTTCCTGTGCTTGCATCTTGCCAAACACTGATGCCTTTTCCTCTATTAACATATAAACACTAGATTCTGTTATTTTGATGGAATAGTCCCCCCCCAACGGTTAACCCCATTCTAGTTGCTTCTTCCGACAGAAAGTGTGTGCTCGCAGACGCGTTTGCACACGCAAACTGCACACATGCCATGCACATTATTTGCTCTTCCATGAGAGCTGAGTGAAAGCCAGACCCAGTAGGATGGGAACGGATCCTCCTGAATTTGCATGCCTTAATAACCGTGCTGTTAAAAGCCACGAGGAAGAAAGTGGAGTAGATATAATTGTCACTGCTATTAGACAGCATTCAGATATTGTTAGGGCATGTCGCATTATCTGCATTTGCAGTTTAGAGGCTGCAAGGGTAATTTAGCTCTTAACACTTCTTGTTATCGCTTATCTGTGCGACGCTCCAGAAAGGAGAAAGCATTGCCTTTTGCGTTGCTGTGTTTTGGAGCGCACGGCAAGGTTGCCTACGTGTAGACAGAAATATACATTGACAGAAACAGTGCCTTGAAGGCTAAATGGCACTGTGGGTTAGTGCATAAGCTTTTCATGTTGAGAAACCTATAGCAGGCATCCACACAATTATTTTGGGGTCACAAATAGCAACCTGTTTAAATATATGTCGAAACCAACACATTTTGAATATTTTAGATAGCCCCCTTGCCTGCCCACCCCCAATCAAATTTAAGTCCTGTGTTGGTTTAGTAAGACTACATAGCAAATACCACAGAGCCACAATTGCCAAGTATCAGAAAAACATAGATCCAAGGCAAGGAATCTTCATAATTTTTACATAGGATGACTACAAATTGATCAACAAATCACAAGGCACTTCTGTGGATGTAGAGGTGGCCTATGATTTGATGGTGGTTTTAAGGGGATGCCTTGTAAAAATTATGAGACACCATAAAGATTGGGTGGCCTCAGATTCTGGTTTTTGCATCATGGCAGAACTGAAAAACACTGGGTCCTTAATGTTTGGGGTTTAGTCAATGGAGACAAACATACTCTGTGATTTGATACTGGGTGAGGACCTGTGAAAAAATTATTCCGTTTCAAGAGGATCCAACTTACTGGCTCTTCTGTGTACATGTGCTTCCTCGCTCTTACGCCGCATTTCTGTGGCATCCCACTTTCTCTCCCTGCGTTCCCAAATGGCCCCTCTTTCCTCCTTCCCCATCCATAGCTCTGCTCCAGGTGGGCCCACCCCCTCTACAAGGCAAATGGGTAAAACCACAGAGCTCCAGGGCTAGATGAGTAGCTTTTCGTTCAACTAACCCAGACCACCAAAAGCCTAGCACTCCAACACAATTGCCCTATTGCACTGTGGGCTGACTGTAGAAGCTGTTCATCTAGACCAGCGGTTCTCAACCTGTGGGTCCCCAGATGTTGTTGGACTACAACTCCCATCATCCCTGAGCTCTGGCCTTGCTAGCTAGAGGTGATGGGAGTTGTAGTCCAACAACATCTGGGGACCTACAGGTTGAGAAAGGCTGATCTAGACCCAAACCTGCAAGAAGGGATTACTTGAACCTCTCATCCACCATGCAGTATGAGAGTTTGGGGTGGTGGCTACTGGGATGAGACTTACCTGCCCTTAAACTGTTAGGGGCTCTCCCCAATCTGCAGCTTTAAAAGTCCTTGGGAAGGGAGGAATTCATCTGGATCACTGATTTTCTTCCAGTACAAATTAATCTCTCTCACCACAGATTCTTCTGGATTTAGTAGTCAGAGTCTTTAAGAGATATGGAGTGGGTGAGGAATTAGGGTCCCACAGACATGTATACTCCCTAATCTCCCTCAGATTTGGTAAACTGCTGTTAGAGGCTCAAGCAACCCAATTTCCTCCCATACCTTTTCTGCTTTTCCTCTCTTTCAACAAAAATGATGTTTGGCTGCCTTCAATATTCTAGGACTCCTTCAGGCCACTGGGGATACTTAGATGAACATCCTTGTTGAACTGAGCTTCACATCCCCTTTTATTTTTAGATCAGAGACTAATATTTTTCTGCATACCAGCAGAGTCCCCCGAGTACCCAGAATCTACTAACTTGTCTGAAAGTGGGCCTGGTTTCACTGCTGTACTGATAGGCCTGGGAACACCAAGTGCACTGTAGACATAATTAACTATAATAACCGAAGCAAGGATGTTAAAGAATATACCTGTCTATGTGTTCTTTTGCAATTTTTACCTGCCATCATATCTGGTCTTTCTTTGGTTTTTAAATATTCTAATTTCCATTCCTATTTTTTTACTATGTCTAAAGAGATGAAAATGTCCGCTACATATCTGTGATATTGTATGCAGTCCTAAGAAATTTATGTCATGGGCAGCAGCAGGAAATAAGAAACATTGCTGAATGTAACGCTAACTTTTTTTTCTAAAAAAAAAGGGTAGGTTTGAGAACTCTTTGACTGTGACACTCCTCCCTGAAAAAAGTCAACTCCAGAAACAGAAGCAAACTTAATGTTTTAATAAGTAAAAAAGAAAAGAAAAAAAGACTATATAATTTTCAGTGCCACCTGAGCACTCTAATTACTTTGGCCATCTCATTATAATAAAGGGGTCTATCATTAAGATTTTTCTGAAAGCATTGTGTGGTTGGAGTTGTGGGCTAGACAAAGGAACCTTGCATGTCTTCTCACAAGTTCTATTGAGTTCAATGCGGCTTACTCCCAAGTAAGTGGGTATATGTCAAAGGACTTTAGTTGTAAAGAACTCTCTTGATAGTTCTGTGGTATCTGGATATCCATCTTTTTGCAATGATTCCAGGGTTGATAACCTTTTTTCCAGGAAGAAGCACTGTGCTTTTATAGGGTTTTATAGACAAGTATAATGTTATACAAATAAGTATACCAAGTTTTCTCATGTCATTTGGATATCACAAAAATAGCATAATCAATGTGGAAAAATATCTACAACATACGTTTTATCATTAGTGGCCAATGTATAAATTCTTGGTATGTGAATTGGTTTAAGCAATTAGAAAGAAGAAGAAAAGAAAAATGGTGGGAAAGGCGGAATGACGAGTGGGTTGGGGTCAGGTGGTTATGCTTCTATTATTCTACTTTGTGTGTGAGGGGTTGTGTCAGCGTTACTTTTATGGGTTCTCTTACTATTCACTTGTTGCATTTCCTTGGTGGTGAGAGGGGTTAGGCGTGGCTTAGGGTGTGGTTAGTTGTCTTTTGTTGTCTTTGTTTTTGTGTGTGAGCAAGGTGTGAATGTGTATTTTTGAATCAGGTTAGCCAGATTGATTCATATGCTGTCGGGGGATTCTTGTTGTCTTGTTGGGCTGTGCATGTGACAAAGGGGAACCAAACCGGGGTGAAGGCGTCTTCTTCTATTTGTCCCCGTGTCAGTGTGCTTTTGAGTTGTGGGGGGGGGGGCAGAATTCAACAGGTACTGTTTGAAGATTGCTACACCCCCATGCAGCTCCTCAAGCTACAAAGAGATTCTGTTGAGGGAAAGATGGCAATTCTGCGTAATTTCCGTCAATAACAAGCAAACAATATAGGATATGGGTTCCCAAGTTGTGGTTTTGTGGATGAGCAGTGCTCTGCAAGCTTCATCTGGGTGACCCATGGTGTGTTTGTAAAAATACCATAATCATGAAGCAATTGGCTCCAAATATCACAATTGCTACAAAGGCAGTAAAATCATTATGTGATCTGCAAAGACCCTCAGCAGTTTTCAAGTGGTCTGTGGGGGGAAGGTTCAGGAACTACTGATATAGAATAAGATATAAGCAAAATACTGTGATGTAACAACCATTTTCATTAGTGTAGTCATCATTCATCAAAGCCAATAGGGCTGCCCTCATGTAGTGATCACTGAAGCAGTATTTAAAATTACTTGAAGGTTCCTGCTTCACTAAAGTTTTTCATAAGAATTCACAGATAGACAGCATGATTTTTTGTCTTGAGACCTAAGCAATAAAATTCTATCAGCACAATAATTCTGTAGACCTGTAATGGCCAATTTGTAGTGTCTTAAAA